ACTTAACCTTTACTCGTCAGAGTATAGGCATCTTAGAGGTGACTTCATGGCTTATAGTATCCTTAACACTTCTGTTCATCCCCTTCAACATCTTCTTAAGGTTAGTCACAATACTAACCTACGGGGTAACACCCAGAAAGTGGAGACCCAACGTAGCAGAACAGACTGCAGACACAACTTCTATTCCGTTAGAGTTGTCAAGTGCTGGAATACGCTGCCACTTGAGCTAGTCCAAGCGACTTCCCAGGAGTCCTTTAAAAGGAAACTTGACTTATTTTTAAGGACTAAGGATAACATATTATTATGATTTACCAAAGTCATTTTTTCCCTCTATTATCGTTAATACACCTAGGTTTTTGCCTGGAGGTATTGGTGATCCGCTGCTACTAGAAATGGAAGCCCGTTAAGCGAAAGCTTCTTCTATTCCGTCCTCAACCATTTGAACCATTTAAAGTTATCCAGAAGGCTGGCGAAAAGAATGAGGATCCGGTCCGTAGCTCAACGCTGAGACAACAACAACGCTTTTTTGTGAAAACATTGCATTAGTAATGTTGAAGCACATTATTGGTCAGTTTGGCAGTTAGACTCAGAACTTAAACTTTGAAAGCTTGACTTGGCTTTGCCTAGGGTGCGGAAACATAGTTTTTTCTTCTTCACATGGAAAGGATAAGAATGCATTAAAATGTATATGAAGGCGATCTACAAAATCTCTTCGAGGACTTTAATTCAAATTTTTTGATGGGCGTCTGAAATTACTGGTTCCTCTCTATTTGGAGTAAGAGAGTCTCATATGCGATCTTCTAATGATTAATAGCATCCTCAACACTACTATGCACTATTGAATACTCGCTTGAGTTTAGTATCGACACAAATCTCAGAGGCAACACCCAGAAACCAGGGACTTAACATAACAGAGTGAACTATAGTCACACTTTCTACCCTCTACGAGTAGTTAAATTCTGGGGTTCGCTCTAAACGACTTATTAGGAGTTTTCCAAGCTGAAACTTGACATGTTCTTGGGGAATCATAACCGTCTTTCATTGTGATAATCAAATTTTAATCGTTTTGTCGTCAAATATACCTTGGCCCCTCTCTGAATGCATCAGTGATTCACTACCACTAAAAAAAGAAGCCAGTTGAAGCAAAGCTTCTATTTCATCAAGTACCGTTTGAACTACCTGAACTGCTTGAAGGTAACCTGTATACTGAGTGAATATAAAAAGTGTGCTTGGGTAAAGTTGGAAAGAGGAGAAACAAGTAAAAAGTGAGTACGAAACTCAATAATCGCGTAAATAGTACTTAAATTTATGATGTAAGGAATCGACAGCAGGCATCAATGAAACAAGCAAAATATTAAGAACATCTGATTATCTGAACTAGCGGCTGATAGAATGAATTTTTGAGCTCGTAACACTACTATGTTTAGAATTCAGGGGTAAAACCAACCTTTAATCAGACCGATGGATTTGAAGGGCGTCTATACAGTTTACTTTTTCCACAAACATTTTACAAAGTGCTAGAGGTCTACACACTACTAATGCGGAGAATGTGTCCCAAAAGATAGATTCATTCTTCGTTCCCGTTCTCTGTCTATTCTTCTCTTCACAATACCAGGTTTTTTAATGAGGAACATGTGACCCTTATTTGGCAATAAACAGTTTGTGAATGATATTCAGAAATATTTCGCAAGTATCCTAAATTCATCTAAAATTGAAATGTTTGGTGGTACCACAGACTTTCGGTTTCATAAATCCTGTACCTTCAAGTGGCACTATTATTGTTCCTTTAACATTTAATTTCAGGGGGGAGAAAAACTAAATTAGCTGCTCATCAGATATTTTGGTTTTATAAAACTGATGTCGAAATAAGTCAAAGATTGAATATTTGCCCTGTTTGTTCGCTTCAACTGGGATAAAATAAACCTACATGAAATCTTTGATCTGACTCATACGAGTCGTGTAAACGTATTCATGCCAATTATCCTAACATGTTTTAAACTCTAATGAATTATTCTGCTGATAATCATGAGTAATACTTGCAGGCATTTATTTTGGAAAGTATAATTAGAGAGCAATTAGGGGATATTTATTCGTAAAATCGTAACCTATGTACTACGAACTGGTCACGGAAACCATTTAAGAGATTTTAACCATTGGCTTAACAGTAATGTCATTCACCACTCATTTACAGCTATGAGTTATCTTCAGTCGAACGGCTTTGAGGGAAACTCTGTCTTAAAAGAGTAAATAGTGTTTTCACATCAGTAAATTCAAGAAATCTGAAGAAACTATAAAACTGATTTGAGAATGTTCAGGAGCCCGGAATTCCAGCCAAAGCCCGTATAGTCCGACCACATATACGGAATGATTTCATCATAAATTAACTTGCCGCTAAAATGGTTTCCGATTATCTGTCAGGATTAAAATTTGGAAGTGGGTAGTTTGATGGTGAGGATTCCTGATCTGAATTATCGTGCGGATTATGTAAAATTTAGTCAAGTAAGTGGTCCGGATTTTAATTCTGGTGATAAGGAGGGGAGGGGTGGAGTTACCGACTAGTAAGGATCGATAATTTTAATCCACCATTGTTGTGGAGAACATTTTGTTTGTTTTAGTCTCTTTATGATTAAGAACGAAACAGCCAATCAGTGATATAGAAGCTGTTGTTTTACTCAGAAATGTTTCCAATTATATGCTGAATCCACTATTCCACTAATGTAATCTATCACATTCTAACTCATGCATTCATATCATGACTTAACAGCTGGCGTTTTTTGAAAAAAGACTGGTGAAAAAGAATGAAATATGATAAAAGTTAAAGCTATTGACGTTTTTAAACACTACTCTATGTGACGCACATTGGAGTTTAATAAATATCCTCACCCCTAGCTTCAACTTCACTTTCACTGTTCGGAACCATTCCACCTTGTTGCACGTTACAACATACTGTTCTTTATCTGAGGACTCTCTAATTACAATCTATTCTAGTTCTAGCAGCTAGTATGGGTCTTATCTACTAGTTTACAATACATTTGTCTGTTCCATTATAACTGCTTAAGCACCCTTGACAGTTTATATCAAGTTGTCTTGCTTTTCCTTTTTGCTACATTTTCAGCAACATGTTTGCATTGCACAGCTAGGGAGCCTCTTTCTACATATGGAACACAAACCTAATGTTTGCGTTTGTTAAGGTCACAGCTTATACCAGGTGCTTTCAGGTCATTACTTTATGACAACTATAAACTTATTTACCAGTTCCACTGCATAAATAATCAGCAGGAAAATGATCACAAACATTCTGCTTTAAATCTCTAATAATTTATTATTCTCCCATTAACAACTGTGCGGGACTTGCACCCTATCTATACACTCTCATTAAAGACCTCGCTACATACTACTGATCATACTTATAAAATGGCATGTGACCGCTTTGTCAGAAATACAACGTTATTGTCATTGACTATCTTCCTTATCCTGATTCTGTAGATAATTCTAAATTACAGATGAAGTGACTTAAAATTGAAATACATAACCCTTTAATTGTGGTGGAAACGGTGATTCACACTTTGAATATTTCACTACTATTCGTTACAATTTGTAGCTATTCCTCAGTCCAAAACTATACTGTTGATTCTTAAGTCCATATTGTTATGTATTGTTCGCTTACTGTTTTGTTACTAATTTTAATCACATTCAGTTATTTGTCGTATTCGTTTGACCTGCTGCTTATACTTGAAAACGGGAACTACTGTAATCCCTAAGACGCCAGATAAGAACACATAATACTGGTACAGATGAAGAATTATCGACCTTCAATAAAATATGTCATCGCTGGACCAAAATACATCTATTTATACTACTGACTCGGACATATACTTATTATCACACACTGGGATATATATAGTCACTAAGAAAATACACAATGAATGTTGTTCAATTTTCACTGACGTCAAGAATATAGACGTTACACATAACGACAGTTGATACCTATCATAGTGAACGAAATTCGTGCTGAATAAGCAAGAAAATTTCAACCTGAAATAAATTCATAATGAAAGAGGGTTCACACATGTCACCCTGGACGAAAATAATATCGAATCTATACAAAAGATATTTGCCTGAAATAATGTTGATTTTTTTAACTCATCCTATTACTAATCACATAATTAATATTTATTTTTCGGCATTCTTCTATCGTCTATTAACTAATATCATTTCCACTATTCAGGTTTGAACATATTCTCCCTACCACTGATTAAGAGTTCTTGGTGTAGGTTTCATAATTGTCTGCAATAGCTGGCAAGAAAAATAGGGTATTCCAACAGCCTTTTTTGAATGTCTAATTTTGCGTGGAGTTTTAGACACCTTTCTTGGTCAGTATCAACAATCCGAAGTCCTGAATTGAGGACTTAAACATGGTCTCATTCAATTAAAAATACACATGGTTTACGGAGCTGTATTTGTAACAAGAAAACTCGGTCAGAGTTTTGAATCCTGTTTTCTCTGAACTTAAAATTTACGTGAACAGTATTTTCATGTTTCGAATAGTTTTTTAGATTGGTACTCATTTTTGAACAAATGAAAATTTTTGATATTTTGTAAAACTTAACTATTTGCTTTAGCCTGCATTTTTTCATCAGAGCGAGTAAACTTCAAAGTATTGATGCAATCAAGAGTAGGAAAAAAAACTCATCGTCAACCATTTATGGGTTTTTCACCAATTTCTTGTTCTGAACTGGTCTGCTCGCATCCAACAACTAAGTCTGGTTCTATCAAATATTTTACAATTATTACTGATTGTGAATCTGTGGATCATCAGTTAACATTATGTTTAAAAATTTCTCCCAAATATATTAACAATCAGGTGGCATCAGGAGATAATGATGTTGTATTATCTTTACGAAAATTCACCTACTAAGCTTACAGAAACAATTATCGTAACAAAACTGTTATGAATTGAGATAAAAATAACATCATTGAATAAGTAGTGCCGTAATAACCCCACTATAATTATTGTGCATTAGCAAGCAGAATCTTACGATGGTTGTATTCAAGCATGACTTAATGTATAATATACCTCAGATCTCTAGGAAATGAAGTGAATTTTGTAGAAAATTCTCTACTACTTAATATGAGTCAAAAGGAAGCATGCGTCTTATTTAATATTATTGACGTGGAGGTTTGCTTTCTTATAGAAAAGTTACCAAATATGGGTTTAGGCTTTACTTTTTTAAGTCTCTATAAAGAGACCGATTTCTGAATTTGAAATAGAGAGTGTTCAACAAACAAGGTCATGTAATCACACAGGATCTTGCATCAGATATACAAGTGAATATAGGAAAAAATCAGGACAATTCATTTAAATGTAATTATCCCAGTAACTATACTGCATAACTAAAGGAAATGAAACTTCGATTTAAATGGTTATGTGTATTCCATATGTTTTTTTCATGTACTATGAAACAGATAAAAAGTTTTAATTCCTGACTAATTAATCTTGTTAAAGAAGAAGTGATACACGAAAACGACGCATTTCATTCTCCTCTTTACGCAATCGATCACGCAATTCCCGATATTCTCTAACCAATGTATAACTGTTTGGGGTATGCTAAGTAACAAAAAGAAAAAAAATCATAAATCAAATAAAAAAAACAAATCCCGGAGTAATATACAGGATATTTCTTACAAATATGGGCAAATATTTAATTAGTGGTTGATGTATCGACAACTGAAATTTGATGTTATCATTTTTCAATATAAATGAAAACTTTGATACTGCAGATATTTGTTACTCAAATGTTTTATGCAAGGAATCAAATGAGCTTACTAGTGTGATATACCAAAACGAATTTTGGAGCCTTTTTTGTCATGAAAAACTTGATAAGTGCATATTGATATGTAACCTCTAAGTATTATGTAACTGATAACTATCAGTTGATGAATTTCAGTGGTTGTTTGATCTATAAAACATCTTTTTATTTTCAGATAAGTGAACTTCTGGGGGGATAACCAAAAATTCTTTAAAAATATGAATTATATAAATCAGTGATTCGAAATATTTATCCATGTCTGATGTTAACTATAATCTATGAATAATAACAGGTCTGGTATATTCACCAAACATAAACACTACCTAAAGTGAAAGTGAAATAATTGAATATGTAATGGAAAATTATAACTTGTGAGATAGGTGCAAAATAATAACATTAACCTAATGACAAATAAAAACGAAAAGTTATTTCCTGGCGGCTTTGTGCTAATCGAATAACCTATATGAAATTTACACTGGTTGTAAAATTAGTCAAATATTACTGAAGGTGAATTTCTGAGTTGATCCTCATCTATTCAAATTCTGAAATTCAATGACTGAACAGTACAACTATGTGGAGAGTGTGAAAGTTAACGTCAATGATATCAGGTGATATCGGTATAAAGTAGCGAATTGACTGAAAATAAAAATGTTAACCACTGTATAGCGATACAGTCATCTAAAACTATTGTGTTCATTAGGAAAACAGAAACTCATGAGTTTGATCTCGTGTGAGTGTGTCCGTGTACTGTACTTAACAGTCTTAAAGCGACAATATAAAACAGTTTCCCCTATACTTACTACTTTTCAATATCTCAATAAGTAAAATAAGAAGTAACTTCTTGCTAAATAGTTTTTATATATCCTCCATCTTAAGAACCATAGAAAACAATCATTATTATTTATCATGATTGTGGTTAGTTTTATTAAAAGTTCACTATCAGGCTTTTTCTTGAAAAGTTTCTTAATAATATTTATAGATCCACTGTTAATTATACGTTCATCAGTTTCTGTGATAGTATTGATGAGTGACCTACAAAGAAATTCATCCTATTAACCTTTATGACTTCTAATCATGATTATAATGAGTTAAATATTTTACAAAGGAATATGTTATGTCACCAGAAAGGAATATAATATCTATATTCACTTTTATTGTCTTCTAAAATCTGTTCATATAGAGGTTCGTGTCGTTAATTCGTCCTTTATAAGTAGTCATTTAACCACACTTATTTTTTACACTTGACTTCACATTGACCTATTCAATAGATGTTAACTAGCAACATCAATCAAACTCTAATCTTAGTCATTATATGTGAAAATTATATTTGAAATAATCTCAGCGATTGAAATTTAAAATAATTCCAACATTTCATCCAGCTAACTCGTTTGAACTTCTTCAGGGTAATAATCCAGATAAGTTAGCTGGACGAAACGTTGGAATTATTTAAATTTCAATCGCTGAGATTATTTCAAATATAATTTTCACATGTAATGACTTATCTATACTTGGCGCCCAATTTTTGTCAAGCTATTCGTTCTAATAATGACGAATATTCGTATAGATCTAATGTAAGTACTTTTAGTGAATACTTTTATGCTGAATAACTGGTATACGAAACCAAACAAAAGTCACTAAATGTGAAAGCTATGTTGTCCTAATTAAGAAAACTTCCAATTATAAATGCAAATTATTTAAAGTCAGTGTGATAACGGATCAGTATAACGTTCGTTTCATTCTCAATGTAATATTTTATTTAGTAATACGTTGATTTCATTTAAGTCTAATGTTTTTCAGGGCAATATTCTTCGTATTCATTTGTGTAAATTTCATCTAATATGATATGGAGAATACGTTTATGTTGTATTTCTGTATGTTTCCCCTATGATATTCATCGAACAATTACCATGTGTGCATAAGGTCAATATGTGAGTGTATTGGTTAAAGTGGTTGACGTGTACTGGAGGGTAAAACAAATCTTCATCTCTTTCAGCAGTCTGTAGTTAAAACGACTTCTTTTTTTTCCCTGCAAATAAATGTTATATTTTTGATGTAAACGAGATTTTTACCTGTAATTCCTCTGAGTATTAGAAACTAATAATTACTTATTAAATGATACCCATTATCATAACATACAAAAAAGAACAGAAGTTAATTAAAAATAGTAACTTCCATTGAGAATGGTAGTTGTAGAGATAGTTTGTGTCCTAATAACAGAACAATATGGATAAAATCTTTCTCCTAAAAAAATTGAACTCTCACATCACCTTCATAAGAAGTTATGAATTATGTTAATACACATTCTGGAAAGAAGTCTATAAGTTACGAGTCAGGGAACAACTATTTAGTTCTATTATGAAATAGCTTAACAAAATTACAGAGCTAAAAGGATTCTGCGTAGTCATTATATACCATACCAATAACTAAACAGTTTAGAAAGTAAAGTTTTTCTGAAACTAAACATAATAATTGAATATTTATAATCTCTTACCTTTGGACTTGAACGTGAACTAGGCAATGCACTTTTACGCAATTCACTTTCTTTAATTTCATCCGCTGTCAATTTGAAAACATTTACATATTCATAAATTACGTCTTACTAACTTTATTGATTATGAGAAAAAACAATGCATCATGATGAAAATTTTTGTCAGACATCAATTTATGATATTACTGTGATGTTTGGTGAATTTTAACTCGCAACGAATTTTCAGTCAATTTTTTTTCATTATAGTTGAATTCATAAGTTGATGTAAGCTAGACTACCATTGAAAACCTGGAAGCACTGGACGGCTGTTTCATTCTAGTATGAGACTCTTGAGCAATGCGCACCGACGATTTCGCATGTGGGACTCGAACACAGGACCTTCGGTCTCGCTTACATAGACTCATGAATTCAACTATTAAAACTACTACGATCTCTGAAAACCTCCTTTCTGATAATTCTTTTATTAATCTAATTTAAGAGGTTGCTGATAATATTTATTAAATCATAAGGAGATATTACTGAAAGGGGACTAGTGAATGAACCAATTCCAAAACAGTATATACTTTCTTTCGTGTGAAATATTTTACATGAAGCTTGAAGTCCTTTACTTCATCTATTCAAAAACAGGCATTTGGTATAAAAATCAAGCTATCAACTTTCTTTTGGTCACATCCGAAATTGTATTATCACGGCTACTTTTAAGGTGATTAAATGTTTCTAAGCTGGTGGTTGGATTGAATCCATTCATTAAGGAACTTCAGAAAATATTATAAATTAAAAGAAGATTTACCTACCTGTCACCTGGAAATTTATTATCTGAGGACACAAGCTTAAAGAGTGTTTTCATAATCTATTCCTAAAAACAGATTTATTGTAAAAGTAATATTATCTGCAGAAACACTGAAATAAGTGAGTGCTCGATTATTATTTTTCTTCTAGCCTCACTATTCTCACGTCTCCACAATAAATCGAATATAAGAGATTCATAGCTCGCAACATGGTACGATTAATCCATTCAGTCAGGTTTCGTAGTTTATGTTTTGTTGACTCAACCAATGCTCTAAATGGTATAATTCTGATCCACTGTCACTAACGCGTAACAGCTACATATCTTATTTGACTGACTTCACACGTCACAACTTTCAAATAGGACGTGGGAAAATTCGTTGCAAAACCAGTCATTTGCAGAGACACGATTTTGTGCCCAGAGGAGTTTTGTTAACAATGTTTTTACTAGTTCATCAGTGCACATAACATATGTTCTATAATATTTCGAGTAAGCCAAATTGTGAAAGTAAAAGTACTTGTCAGAATATGACTTTATCAAAAAACATACTGTCTGACTAGTAGTTTCAAGTATATTTCTGTATTAAAATTAATAATCATAATTCATCTCAGTCTTTCGAAAGACTCGTTCTGGAAACTACCAATTACAATGAGGATCAAAGATAACTTAATTGCTCACTGAAAGAAGTTTATGCGGTCATCACAAGTAGTGATAGAGAATCAAAGACAAGAAGTGGAAAATGTAATCGTAGAAGGTAACAAAAGACACCATTTTAGACCCATCAAAATATAACTATTAAAAGGTCAACTGCTCGTGAGATTATTTCCGAAGAAGACAGAAACGTGATTCCCTGTCACATTACAGGATTATAAATAAGTTGGACGAACATGGAGCAGACGTAGCTGAGAGGCTAACTCCAGTAGTCGCTGAAGAAGGTGAGTTAGCATTGCCACTAAGACTGGCCGATATATCAAGTAAAATGTGTAAGCTAGTTACATTCCATCAAACAGGTCGCAATCGCTCATTGTTCTAGGTTAGGGGAAAAGACTAAATTTCTCTCGTGATAATCCTAAGGTTTCATAATCATCGGACGGTTGTATGGTGGTCATAAGTCAACTAGATTTGCGGCCTGTAGTTATGTTTGTAGATTAAATTTGTACTAACTGATTGGTTCTTGAGCATAGACAGATATACTGGTATTTGTCTGTAACTATTTTCTTTGACATGAGAGCGGCATATTGCTCCGCGGACCAAGAAATCTCGTAGCTATATCTTTCATGAAAAGCTATACCAACTAGGCACATTAACTCTTTACTACAACAATACCGGTTGAGTCAATGACTGATGGACTGATTTACTTCATTAGGTTCAGATATTCTAGTTTAGTTTATATAGTCACGATCTGTGATTGAAGACTTTGGGGAACGTCGAGGTAGTAGTTTGCCTTCAGCTAATTTGATAATGTACATGAACATACCACACACACTAGATTTTTTCTTTTGTTTAATAATGGTTACAACTAAGTCCAAACTATACCTTCTTCTTCCGTATTATGTCCGTATATTTTTACTTACTCGGTTATATGATCTCATAAAGTTATTTCCAACATTCTAGAACTATAACTCCAATTACGCATAAAATTCATTTGGAACAATTGAAACCTCATTTCAATGTTTACCTTCAGAAAAATATACCATTTCCTGAAAAATGATTAATTGTTCAGTTTTCACATACGATAATAACTTAAGCTAAATAAACTCACAAAATTATATGTAACTGGGAAGAAAGCAACGAAATACAATGAATTCATTGTATTCTACAAATACAGTTGTTTTTGTTCTCTTTAAGGTCGTACTTACTGCTATCATTTGATCATGAACCATTGAAGATTATTGAAATCAAGATATTGTTCTCAATGCCTATTTATAACTTAAAGTCTTAAGGTCGTCCTCTACTTTTGTTTATTTCCTTAAAACCATATTTGTGTGTGTTTTGACACTGTTTTGCGTCTTATCATGTTAATTTTCTATTTAGGATATTTGTAATTTGATTAGCGGTGGAATCAAGAATACACATATTGTCCTACTCAAGAATCATAAGTCGGATGTGCCTGTACCCCAGTGTTGATTTTCATACTGAGACTCGAACCCAATGCCTTTTTTAATCTAGACAACTACCTGTTGCCTAATAAGTTGCTTTATTTGGAGACTCAGTAACTTGTTCAATGGGTATAGAAGTATGAGTGAGGGTTCATAGTTCCCCGTTTTTGATATTTAAGACTGCGATGAATCAGTCTTTGTTGCCACATGTCTATCATGACCGGATTGCCTTTATGTAGACGTTAGTAACAAATTTTATTACATTTGGGGTGAAAATATGGTGTATGCTAAAGTGGACTGGTACACATTTGTTTCAATTCTACATTGTTTATAACCGACTGACTGATGTATAAACTGAGATATAAAGAGTTTAGAAACGATGTATTACTCACTTCTAGCTGATTCAATGTTTCTTGTTGGTACAGATGATCTAAAAAAGTGTAAAAATCGATTCATATATTTATTGTTAGTTACTCTTCGTTAGGAGGGAGAAAAATGTATAACTCAGTAATTCAGTTATAGCGGTTAGTTAAAACAGTTGATCTACTAATAGAGTAGATTTCACACACATATATTAAGTTACTGACTTCTTTTCTGTAAAGCATTACATATTTTAAGGTATTTAAATCTGACCGTTGTCCAGATAAGTAAATGATGTATAAATTGTAATATTTTTAATATAGTTTTGATCGGCGGTTAGAGCTGTAATGAACATGATGTTGGTAACTAAATTATTCTTCATTTACACTCTTGATTTTTTTCTACATCAATGCATATCATTCTTGTTACATTGCAACAAGTAGAGAATAGATGTTTTACCACAGTCCTAATAAGTAGCCATTTCAGTGCTTTATCAAAACAAGATAAACTTAAAAATAAGAAAAAAGAAGGACTTTTATTTCATTGACGTAATATAAATGATGTACTTTTAATAACTGTTCTCGCATATACTCAAAAGCTCTTAGATATCACTTTATATGGAAATTACTGTTGGTGTACTTTTTTCATTAAATAGATGAAAACACTAGGTCATCAATGGCTCCTAAGAAAACTCAGAAAAATGTTCAATGGGTTTATTTAACCCACTTGTCAAGGGTGTTATATTCATGGAGATTTTATTAATTTCATAGTTGAATTCATTAGTCAATTGAAGCTAGACCACCATGGAAAACCTGGAAACGCTGGACAGTCGTTTAGTCCTATTGTGGTACTCCTCAGCAGTGCGCATCTACGATCCCGCCTTGTGAGATTGAAACTCAGGACCTATGAATTTCGCGCGCGAGCGCTTAACATCTGGACAACTGAGCCGGCATTCAACGGTGTTAATGTCTAAATTCAACCAATCCACAAAATTGCGCCACCATCCACCATTGTATTCAATGAGTCTCAATCTCACAACAGACCTGGTTGAACTCCACTGGTCACTGCTTCTTACTAGAACTCCAGGAAGTATCTCTTGAAGCCAGTCACTAGTGAGCATATGGTTATTATCAAAAGGGATTTTGAGGGGATTTAAATAATTTTACAGTTGAATTTATGAGATAGTAACTCACTGAAGACAATGTTGGACGGTGGCGCAATGTCGTGGATTAGTTGAAGTTAGATATCAACGCCGTTGGATACCGGCTCAGTGGTCTAAAGGTTAGACACTCGTGCGCGAGACTGATAGGCCCTGAGTTTGAATCTCACAAGGCGGGATCGTAGATGCGCACTGCTGAGGAGTACCACAATAGGACTAAATAACTGTCCAGTGTTTCCAGGTTTTCTATGGTGGTCTAGCTTTAAATGACTCATGATTTCGACTATAAAATTACTGAAATCTCCACAAAACCCCTTCTGATAAGCAATGATTCCATCTAAGTAACAAACTGATTCAAAAAGTAATTAACTGAAACCTTAACACTATATGGAAACCAAAATAGATACAAAATATGCAAAGAAAAATAGGTGATCTAAATAAAAATTATGATTCTTTTTAAATAGTATACAATAGGTTAATAAAACCATGAGTGTGTCAAAAAACCATGATGAAGATGTGATCGCATCAGATGACTGAAAGTCATTTGTTTTATTCTCCTTTTCAGTTAAATCAGTAGGTAACCTGATAAGTTAGTCTTATGCATGTAATGTATCCTAGTTTACTCAACCAAAAGTCACTAACGAAAGATTTATAACTGTGGTGTTTTCGAAGGTATTTCAATCACTTCTATTATGTAATAGATAGTATTTATTTATGAAGAACAGATCGAAACCAGACATTTGAGATGAATTACATGCTTGCATCTTAGTAAGTAACTTATTTCATTTAAAAAATTTAGTTAATAAATTTTTATGTTTTTTGGCAGCAATCATGATAAGTCTTCAGGAAACTATTACATGAGAGAAAGACTTAAGAAGACATTTTTCATAATAGTAAATCGGTAAAATGTTTGTTACATTAAATCTATAATAAGGTTACTATAGAACATACCTAATAGTTGATATGTAACCATAAGTTGATGAAACTGGGCGGATTCCATTAAGAATTAATTTGACTTTATTTGTAAGATTTCGATTCTTTTCATGTGCATTTTCAAAAGCTTCACTTTTATCTCCCTCTTTTTTAATCTCACATTCTTCTGCTGCTTCATCTACTACTAACTGATTATCAGTAGTATTGACAACGTTCAAAGTTGGTATTTTAACTTGTTCCAGATTTGAACTCATTAAATCATCTTTTTGATTTATGGACACTTCACTTGGATCAATTTTGCGTTTACCACTTTCAAAACGAACAGATTTGCATCCGTCATGTATGGTGTTATCTGCTTGAAGTTGATTTGTTTCTAAATGTCCTGATGCATCGATTGTGTTGTCATGGTCGATTGTTCTAATAATGATTTGTTTGCCTGGTAGAAGTTGTTTAATTGGATTCTGTCGATGAAAAAAAACATATTAAAACTTGTATTTACTATTTATACTGTACATATAACTGGTTTTTAGTGAATGCAATAATTTAGATAATAACTCAAAAAGCAGTGAACGTTATAAGTTGGTTGAAAAGAGTGCTCATTTCATGCAATTTGCGGATCAAAAGATTTGTAGACAGTTAAAATAATAATGTATCAAGAGAGTCTAATCTGTTCTAGCTGTTTTCTCCATCAAATACACATAGATGCTTTGCTCCATTATCAGATATATATATTTATTGGATTAAGTAGAGCTATCACGGAATATTCTTATCTTCTAGTTTCAAGTAGCTTGATCAACTGAAAGTTTCCTGTTTACGTAAAGCAATTATCAGCGTAACTGTTTTGATTGTATGTACCTGGCGAAGTATGAAAACAGTACAATGAATACATCATGTGCATATCTTCCTTGAATTGTCTCTTACAAACTCTATTCCTGTTGTTACTATAATTGGTTTTGTTAATCTTTCTTTTCTACGTATTTTCCTATTCTATCAGTAAGAATCCTACTTTCAATTCACGATACATACTACTTATAGCCGTCCATATGAGCAGCACACTCTACATTAGTAGCTCCAACTGTAACTAGTTTATTCAGTAATGGTGCCTTAACTTTTAAAATATGTGGTCTAGTTGATTGTTTTGATCATGTAACTGTCTGTATTCTTCCTTCTTGTATTAGTAGTGTATGATAAGGATTGTTAGCAAATCAAAATGAAATTGGTAAGTCTACAGACATTCCCCATAAGGAATATAAGATATACCAAATTAATTTCCGACTAATTTTTTTCAAAAATAGTTAAGAATGGTTACAGTTACATGTTGCATCTCGTTTATTTTGCCCATACTTTTTAAAAACAAACAAGGAATATTTTATAGACTTATAAGTGGTATTTGTTCAAAAGTATGTAAAACAATTAGGCGATTTGCATTTCATTCGCTTTTGTACATAGATAATAAGTTAAACTAATTGAACAACAAATCATTACGTGACATTAGAAGTTCGCTATAAAATGCCTCGAAATAATTTCCAGATTGAATCTTATTTAAGGTGTGATGCAATAAGGTATAAATAAAATCTTCATTTTTTGGCTGAAGAATATCGAATTTTGTTAGTTTTGCGTTCTGTAAGCTCTAAGGTTAAGTTATGAAATCATCACCTGTCATTGGGGACAATATCATTAGTAGCTACTCCATGTGAAAATGATCTTTCATGAATATTACCCATTTTAGCATTTACAGTGGTTAGGTATCTCAGGGATGAAGTAGACAAAACCAACGTTTGAAAATACTTTTGACTCCTTGATACTTCCCCAATCCCTGAGTGAGAAAATCCTTCTTTACATTTGATTATTTTTTTACTGCGAGCTAAAATCAGCTGAAAAACCTTTTGAAATTAGTGAACATTAGAAAAATGTTTCATTCTAATCTCTGACTCTTGAGAAGTAGATATTCACTATCAAACATGATTAAACGTAAGATTCTTCAGATTTCACCAATGCCACAATACCTTTTGATCAGTAATCTGAGTACCGTTTGTCCAAACCTTGTACTCAAATCAACTTGGGAAATGGTTTTTTCACCATTCACTACTATCGGTTATATCTATCACACTTGCCACATGATATCACTCCATCGACTACAACATTTTACCATAACTTCAGGAATTCAACTTTGAGCTAGTCACTGTCCCTTACATGACCATTATTAGAACAAGGGTTTAAATAGATAATGAAATTTGAAGTAATTTGTGTAAACTGAATAGGATAAGACTCTGAAGACTTTTTATAATTAGTCTAAGTTCGTTTCCTGTTACTTATATGAACTGACGTAATTAATTGACGAAGCTTTATGTTTCATTGAAGATTAATGAGCTGAGATTATAGACTAGACACAAAAATTGAATGAAGTTAGAGTCACATTGTCTATATTTTCAATACCTTGTCGAGAAAATTTTTAGTGATTCCAAACAAGTAATCGATACAAATTGTGTATGAATTGATAATCTAACTGGTAAATGTTTAGATTATCAGAGTTTTATTTCCTTAAAAAAGTACAAAATCTAATGACATATTTTCACTTACTATTTGTTCACAGCTCTTCAGTGGACTTATTCTATTCCCAACTGATGTTTCTCCATCACATAGCATATCTACTTCATAATGCCAATGTCTTAATTTACTTTCGATCAGACCTATATTTTCAGAACTTGTTTCCCAATCATACAAGGAGAAACCTATCAAAAAATAGAAACAATAGTTTAATTACTAAAATTGAAAGTATAAAATTCATGATCTGGAAATATATGTACTTCAGACTATAAAATAATCAGTATAAAAAGCTAAACTGAAACTATTTATTATTTAGATTAACTGAATAGTAATTCATAGATGTATTGTAGTGGATGCTAGTCACAAAGATGTTTATAAGTCGTATGTAACGGAACGTGGCATTGAAGTTGAAACAATTTTCGGACAAAGCGAAGAGTTTGAGTGTATCGAAAGAACGGCGTTGACAGAACATTTGAAGGTCAGTCAAGAAGGCATTTTAGGTTCTAGAAGACAACGGAATATGCAAATGGATCATTGAAAGCAGTGTACATGTTTTATGTAAATACTTTGTAACTAATGAGTGACTGAACGATTAAAGTAACATAAGGAAACTACTAATAACTATTATTGACTTCAAATATTATAGATTGGTACGAGGAATTGTGATTTATTAATATTATGTATTATTTTGTAGGAGGATCGGATGCAGATGTAAAGGCGAGGATTGGCAAAGCAAGGGCAGCATTTCTACAATTGAAGAACATATGGAACTCAAAACATCTGTCAACTAACTTCAAAATTAGAATCTTCGATACGAACGTCAAGACAGTCCTACTGTATGGAGCTGAAACGTGGAGATCTACTACGACCGTCGTCAAGAAGGTACAAATATGTATAAACAGTTGTATACGCAAAATACTCAACATCCACTGGCCGGATACTATCAGCAACAGCGTTTTATGGGAGAGGACAAACCAGCTTCCAGCTGAAGAGGAAATTAGGAAAAGACGTTGGAAGTGGATCGGACATACATTAAGGAAATCACCAATGTGCATCACGACTCAATCCCTAACTTGGAATCCGGAAGGGAAGCGGAAAAGAGGAAGGCCAAAGAACACACTACGCCGGGAAATAGAAGCCGATCTGAAAAGGCTGAATAGTAACTGGAAAGAACTGGAAAGGAAGGCTCAGGACAGAGTTGGATGGAGAATGCTGGTGAGCGGCCTATGCTCCTCGACGAGGGGTAACAGGCGTAAGTAAGTAAGTGATTATTCTTTGATTCTAGTATGAATTCTATTTTTATATGATACACTATGATGTATATTTCAAATATAATTTATTTAAATAATTCAGTTTTACAATGAATAATTTCAAAGCAATATACAGATTTACATTCCGATCACGGACAGACCTTTAATCATTTTTTTAACTAATAACAATTGAGTTATCACAATCAAACTTTTGACAAAACTTTCACTTATTATTTTAAAATTATTGATGTTGAATTAATTTTACATCTTACAGGAACAATCGTTATTTATCACTTTTTATTCAGTTCAACAATCTTTAAAAATTTTTTTCCTAATGTGAACTCTTTCGGAACTTCTATGTTAGGCAGACTACTTGGATGGGGTCTGCATGACTATCGTAACCGATTGTTGGAAACTCTGGGTGACATGGCTAAGAATCGATTACAATGGCATAGGTGTATACACTCTCTGTCTTCCCTTAAACTGTGTGATTAAAATTGCTTTATATTTTTCTTTCTACCAACTAATTCTTTCTTCCTGTACTATATCCTTATACAAAATCTTTCTTTTACATATTACTACTATTGAAGTAATTACTTCTATGAATTTGGTGTTCATTTTGTTGTGTTAATAAGGTGTGATAACTTAGACCGATGCATATATGCGCCTGGTCCTACGTTATAGCTGACTGACTGATTCTATGTTAGTCTAGATTACTAAATAATTATTTATTCTTTATTAGAAAGAAAAGTAATTATCTCTCAATGATGTTCATTGTTGAATGTTTTAAAATAACTTAAAATAACAATAGCATAATATGAAAAGCTGAATAAAACAAATAATCAGCTAACCGATTCATATATATATATATATATATATATATATATATATATATATATAATCATACCAGCAAACATTTAAAAATATGAATTCATAAATTTTTAAACTCTTCAGTAAATCCTATAAAAAGAAAACTGTACTACAACATAGCTGAGGAGAAAGCAAATACTGATTGTGTAGCTTCAAACTACACAACATTTAATTTCAATAAAAAATTCTATTATTTATAAATAATATAGAGTTCATTAGAGGATTTGGACTGTCCAAAAAACCCAGTCACATGTAAAATTCCAAATCCAAAAAACCATCGATTCACAAATCTCTTGACTTGAAATATATACGAATCAATTACTCTGTCAGACATACAGTCAGAAAGAAATCGTGTCATTCAATTTGGTAAGTAAGTAACTAATTTTAAAACGTACCATAACTCAGAGAAAAATACCTGGTTATGTCTAGCAGGAATGACAGCAATCAACACAAATGAACTGAATGCTATATTTTGGAATAAGAATGCTGACAAGGATAAAAATATATTCAAAGAGTAGAATACACATCAAAAACTACACAATCGAAAGAAGAAGAAATAGAGTTGAAAGTAGATGCACAATAATTAAAACAAGGAAATCAGTGTATATAGATGGAATAAGAGGTTTTTTGCAAATAGGAAACGTTGGATTTCAGAAAATGAACCATAAAAACAATTCGATATAACTCAAACGACTGTGCATTAATATGTAGTGTAACATTATACGAAAGATGGATGAAAGGAAGAAATGAAGAAAGTGCAAAGCAGATTTAACAATGATCTTTGAAGCAAAGTGGTCAAAGTAATTGATGACTATGGATCATATAATGTTCATAACTTATCCATCTAGAATTTATTCCAATAAGTTTAAAATATGTTATTATAGAGTTAGTTGAGATTCTAGGAATCCCTCTTATTCCTTTTTTCCATTAAAGTACTCATAGTGTACAGATTGCTTAGTTTTATTAAACTGTCCCAAATAGCGTATTTATTACAAAATATGTGTTTTTAATTAAGCTTACTTGGTAATCTTTCATTTAGTTCGGTATTATTCGATCTATTAGTAGTTGGTTCTTTGAAATCACTATTATTATTTCCAGAAACTGTATCAAATCCAGAATAAGCTGAATTAAAACGTTTGTTAGCCGAACTACTTTCAGTATTTCTTTTCTGATATTGATCAGCTGAATATCTCTTTGTTCTTAATGTCAATATATTGTTCTTTAGTTTGTGAATTCGCTGTCGTCTTGTTCGAATTTCTGTCTCGTTCTTTATTAAAATAAATTGAAAACGTGAGCAAAAAAGTGGCTATTATATTAAAGATATTGTCTTAAGTATTTAGAAATCAAGTTAAAGTAACACTCATGCAACTCATTTAAGATATATGTGATAAGATAGGTTTGCACTGCTGTAAAAAGCTTTGTTCAACAAAACTTAAATTTATAAAGTCATCAAGCCGGAATAATTGTAAGATATTGACAAGAAGCTGAACTTTTCAATTTTGTGCCAGTTTATTTGCACCGATGTGGTTCATGTACGAGGAAAAATAAATTAATTTGGTTAACTGAAATTCATATAATTCAGTAACACATAAAAAGTATCTAGCACTAATTAAGCCGTTGATGGTGTTTGTAACTAAAGTTATAAATTTTCTGGCTTCGAAACTCTGAATCAAAGATGCTTCTTGCAGATAATTAGCACCACCTACAGAAGTAAATGTTTTGTTACACATATACGAAGATTGATCATTGTTGAATTTCTGTGTTTTTGCTTCTGTTGGTTCAAAAGGTTTTACAAAATTTTTCATATTGAACTAAATGTTGAACAGCCTTCAACATCCCATCAATGATGTTTTACTCTGCCACATTAACTGGATTATACTAGTCCACTTCAAGAATAGTTTAAAACCGATTATCATTCTTATCTATAGACTATCCTTGATCTGAACGATAATGGTTTACCCTTCTAGAGAATCGTTTTCGAAAACATTGGTATGGAGCACGCTTAGAAATAATTACTTCATCAAAAACAATTTCCATACTTCATAATGTTTCTCATTCTAAATTTAAACCCCAAACTAATTGAATTCCATGGTAAATCTAAGAGAATCCCGCCTCACGAGATTCAAACTCAGGACCTATCAGTCTCGCCCACGAGCGCGAGCGCCGTCCAGAGCTTCAAGGTTTTCCATGGTGATCTAGCATATCCTTTTGTTAACATGATTTTTTAAACGCTATAAGGCTTCTTTAAAAATTTAACTTCACTACAAGATAACCTGATGTAATGTAAAAAATCATACACAATAAGTACATAAAACATCATTTTTTCCTCTAATTCTACCCATCTTATCAATTTAATGTGGATAATAAGGTGGCATGTTTGAATAGTTCATATTACATTTCATAAAAGTTATATTATACTTCGTTTTTTGCTTTATACCGACCAACATTAAAATAACACATGAGTTGATAGAAGTGAGTTAACCTTTATCATTCAAAATTAATAACTCCGCCTGTAGCTATTCTAGAGTTACTGTCGATCCCAAGCCGGGGTAAAGAAGGGGGGTTGGGCATGGAGTTAGCGACCCCAACTAAATCACTAAAAATCGCTAACCAAAAGCGCTATCTAAATTAATATTCGTATTTCCTATCATTCATCAGTCAAATATACTATAAAACCCGTATAAAAGTAAATCAAATGCAATTTAAAAGATGATTTACCTAATAATTATTACAAACATCAGATTTGTCTTTAAAAAAACAATAGAAACATCAACGCTAATTATGTTGACTTTTCAAAATATACCCAACTACAGTAAACAATTAAGAAAGTGAAAAACAAAACAAAGGCATTGACTAACTGTTCAATTTCAAATATTTTTATTTATTATTTATTTGAACACATAAATATTGGTACGAAGGGGCACCAGATGCATATGCGCCGCACAAATCTCATTCGATTTGTGTGAGGGCTGTGATACTGCCCAGGTTCCCAAACTGAAGCAGGTGGTTTTCTTAGGGGCCCACACCCGGAGCCTTTGACCTGAAGGTCTGATCCACAAGGCAATGGAGCATCGTGAGGAGATGCATTCCCATGGTAGCCGGTGACCAACAATTGATTCATACTCCATTTGCGTCCTCAGGATCCTGAAGCCCATGTGCACCATTGGTTTGGAATCAGAGTTTTCCAACTCCCCTAGGTGGATTTTCCATGTCCATGGACCCGGTTAGACAGCTGAACATTCGCTTTTCGTCCTCTCAATTTCGTAAACAACATTAATGCCACGAGAAGGCAGTGAGTAGGACTTCCCTGGTAGAGGCCATATACGCGTCGCCATATTAGAGAAGAGCGGACTGTCCCCACTCTCGACCGTACCAGGGCATTTGGGGACTATTCGCTACTTGGCTCTCTGAGCTAAGATCATATGTAATTTCAAATATAACTCAATGTAATATGTAATATGAACACGATAGTAATAGATTTTAAATCCGTTTTCTTTTTCAAAAAAAAGATAGTCATCAATTAATGATAAAAGATTAAACAAAATTGAACAACAATATTATCTCGTTCAATGTACAAAAAAATGTACCCCATAAAACTAAAATCAATAGGGGAAAAAAGGACGAAAAAAATATGGTAAAGAAATAATAAAAAAAAGAAGAAATATATTAGAAGTAAGATTTTACCGTCATTTGTTCAATAGTAATGTATTAGTTATTTTAAAACGAATAAATTAAACAAAAGAATAGTGTCTTTATAGAAAGTCTAAATGTAATGAAGTAAACAGTTCATATAGAAGGTAACATATTTAAAATAATTTATCATTTTCAATATTCCTTTTTCCTAAAATAAAAAAGGCCATCTAGAAATATGACGTAATCTTTTTGTTGCCATGATAGATACTATATAACTTGTAATCTACATATTGGCGTTATGTAATGTTAGCGAAAATTCGCAATTACATCATAAGGCGAAACAATCTAACCGCTTTTAATAATTGATATATGATTTGAAAAATTCAATATAGTATTTTGTTGATTTATCTTTTACAACAAATTTTTAAAAGGAATAATTAAGTTTAAAAAATTATAAAATTGTATTTTACTTATTAATATTTCAGTAGTACCTTTATTCAACAGATGTGAAAAGTGTTCAGAAACACATAGTAGTTTATCAAATCTTAATGTAAACAAAAATGGAGAGTTTTAGTATTTAAACATAATTTTATAAAGGAGAGAACAAAGAAAGAAGTAAGATAAATTGTCAATTAAGTACATCCAACATACGAGTCCTAAATAAAGCGAAACGCGCGTCCTGGATTCCACTGCTAGCCACTATCCATCTTTGCTTACAATTATCAATTAAGTAGTTTGTTTTACTAAAATAAATTGTTTTCCTTCTGATAGATTTAGTTTGCAGGTTTTTCCAGGCAATGTATCACTGAATTAATGTTACTTCCAATAGTGAGCATATTTAAACGTAAATAAATTTTCATGTTTAGTTAGTATAAGAATAAAGGTATAAATAAGGAAAATACACACTTTATGGTAACTCTGAATTCTAGATTCTTTAGAATAAAGCAGAAATCATGAATTGTATGAAAAAACACTGATTAATTTAATACGTTTCCCGTATTAAAAAATAAGACTTATGTAACTCGATTGTGGGAGAGCACAAATCGGATTTCAGTGGAGAAAGAAATCAGTAGGAAGCGCTGGAAGTGGATAGGACACACATTGAAGAAACTACCCAACTGCGTCACAAGGCAAGTCCTCACATGGAATCCTGAAGGCGAAAGAACAAGAGAAATATCAAAGAACACACTACGCAGAAAAATGGAGACAGACATGAGAAGAATGAACAAAAATTGGATAGGACTAGAAAGGAAGGTCCAGGACAGAGTGGGTTGGAGAATGCTGATCGGCGCCTTATGCTCTATTGGAAATAACAGGCGTAAGCAAGTAAGTAAAGTAACTCGATTGTTTAGTTGTAATATTTGATGATTATGTGTATGGACAATTTCATAACATATATAACTTGCATTATATTTTATTATTCATGTTATATCTAGAGCTTTAGATTCTTGTTATGCAGCATGCAACTAGACTATTTGAACGATCAAACCCACAACGTCGCAAGAGAGAAGACAGAAGACTAGTAAGTAGTAATGTATTTCCCAATACAGTGCCAAATATAGTAAAAAAAATCTCATGTATTCATAGTTTTTTGGCTTAAAGTTAGTCATAATTTTGGACAGCCAATAGACACATGGGGGGTTCTTCTTATTCATCCAAAAGGGAAGCTACATGTTGACATTCTAGAATGTTCCTCTAGCAGTGATTGGATGAAATGCCTTCCGCTCCTTCTAGGTTTCTTAAGGCTTTCTTGAGTTTGCTAACGAGCCACCCTTACAATTCATAGAAGTCTTTAAGAGGAAGTTCTATAGATTACTTATAAATTATTATATGTGAAAACTTGAATAGAAAAACTGAGCACTATTTTAAAGCATTTAATGTGCTGACTAAATAATGTTTCCAACATTTCAACGACATATCTAGAACTACTGAACGTATATTCAGGATACTAGTTAAATATTGACTTTATATGATACGAAAGTAATCTTCAGAAAACTGCTTTCAGTCTAATCTATTTCAGTTAGATCAACAGAGAAATTATTGACAAATGTTTATTGATTATGAATGCATTGTTATCAATAACTTTCCATTTTACAAGTTTACTTGTTGTAATTGAGGTATATTGTTTCCTTTCATTCGCCCTTGTTGCTGTTGTTTTCTTTGATTTCTTGATGTCTGTTCAAGAAGACCTTTAGTTCTTTCTGATTTAATTTTATTCCGATTAGCCAATGCTTTTTCACGTTGTTCTTCTTCTAACTAAAATGGGAATATGTCAAAATAAATTTTTCTGAAAGAAGAATATGTTGCAATCTTTTTTAATTAGAATGCATTCTATTTAATTTCAAATTGGTCAATACATAAAAATGAATTTCATCATTTATAAAATTATTTTTATCAGAAGGGGTTTTGTGGATATTATAGTAATTTAATAGTTGAATTCATGAATCAATTGAAGCTAGACCACCATGGAAAACCTGGAAGCACTGGACAGCCGTTTCGTCCTATTGTCAGACTCCTCAACAGTGCACATCCACGACCCCGCCTCGTGAGATTCGAACCCAGGACCTATCAATTTCGCTCGCGCACGCTTAACCACTAGACCACTGAGCCGGCATCCACAAAAACCTCTTCTGATAATAATCATATGCTCACTAGTGACTGTCTTGAAGAGATACTTCCTAGAGTTCTAGTGAGAAGCAATGACCAGTGTAGTTCAACCAGGACGAAACAGCCATCCAGTGCTTCCAGGTTTTCTATGGTGGGCTAGCTTCAATTGACTCATGATTTCAACTATAAGATTATTTTTGAATAATTCTTATGAGACTGTTTTATTCACGTACAGCTTTCAAGGTATAAAGTTTTAAAATAAGTATCCAGTAATGTCAGAATATTTAGTACTTGTATAAAAAAAGAATGATGGTTATGTCATACTGTGTACTGATAACCAGGATATATATTTTAAGAATTAAAATTTCATACTTTTGAGAGTAAACCGTATGGTTTTTGACTGACCACTTAAAAACAGTTTACATATATTCGTTTCGCCTATGTGAACAAAGAAATTGTATTTTTTTTACAAACTAGGATGCATTCACTGCATTTTTCTGATTTATTATTACATATACCTGAAGCCATTGACATTCATCTCTATGAATCTGATATCTACGTCCATAAAAAAACTTATATAATCGCTCTCCGTACCTTCGGCTAACATAATGGTCAAAATTAAAGTGAATTGTTAATGGTTTATTATATAATACTTCTTTAAAACAGTGTCTCTTTATCATACATTTCATTCTTTACGTTACTGCATAATTGTAACATCATTGTGCTTATATAACTGTTAATAACATCCGATTTCCTGTCGTAATTTTACCGATTCTCTCTTAGTATATCATCCCATCTATACTTGTATATTCCAATTTATTTATTCAATAATTAATACCTTTGAATATTAATTACTTTAAACCCCTCATCCCTTAATAACTTTGCAATTATTTCCATTGACACTAATGAATTCGCAATCTTATTATCTCACTCCACTCTACTACTTGATTGATATCGATTTGATTACTGATATTATATATTGGTGTTGAAGTATAATGGAGTTGAAGTATAATAGTTCTTCATCCTGTTTGTGTTTTTGTAAAAAAAATTCGATAGTGTAATGAGAAGACGAGGATTATCAGAACTATGTGATATTTAATAGCGCAATATATTTCAAACAATTTTATCACATACATACTTGGTAAGAATATATATATATATATATATATATATATATATAAGCTCAAGTAGACTGGAAATGAGGGGTAAGAGTAGACAAGGATAATAATAATAACTCTGGATAATAAGCTAATATTACCAGGATAAGTTTAATGTGAGAACAAACTGTTTTTGAATACACAGTTATCTGTGAAAAAAGTGATACGAACTGCTTATTGAATAAACTTAGCACTATTCAAAACCACATCAGTCTCTCATACGAAGAGGAGAAGAACGACCAGCTTCCCTTCCTAGATAAACTTTTAAGCAGACGAGGAGATGGCTCAATCAAACGATCCATGATGTGAAAACATTAAGATTATTATAAGTATAGTTTTGCAAGGAGTATTAAATTATACTGTGAAAATATATGTATTACTTAGAAAATTTCTTAGATTTTATGACATTTTGTTCAAAGCATTGTATTTGATTTAAATTCAATTACCTGTAAATTTGTTTCATAAATTTGTTTTACTAAATAGCGAAAAAGAGGAATTTTTGAATCTATTGGTCGATTGATACGATATAAAATGTTACGTTCAGCTATTTCTCGTATCTGTTTTAAACCATCTGGATTACGACGACTTTGTATAAGACGTTCAAAATTTCTTCCACCTAATATATAAGTTGTTGTAGGTTCAATACAAACAGCAGTTTGCATGTAAGTTTTTAGATTAAAACCATATTCAAATTCACCTGTAATAAGTAAAAAGGAAAATCAATAAATGTTAAAACATTTTTTTGCATATATTTTAAAATTCGTACATTAAATAACGGTTATGATAATTCCTCTTTGGTAGTTGAGAATTTCTCCATATTTATGACGTGTATAGGGAATTTTTTTAGATTACATTATATCAGTGTTATATCGATTGAGTGTGTTCTTGCCCAGTTGATATAAATGACGTTATAAGACCGCCAATTAGAGAGCAGTGAAGTTATTGATCGTCCAATGATACACAAAAGCCGTACGAGAAGTTTTGAGTACTTATCAGTCCTGTTTTCTGCCTAGACCAGCCAGTTAAGTCCAGAACACCAATAACAGCCTCTGCAATATAAATCATTTTTCTCAAACATACTGGGTTTATATACTAATCAAACTGACCACATCGTACCATAAAATAGAAAATAACATCTGTACAATATTTGGGGGAACAGTAATTAATAGACTGAGGATAAAACAAGAATGGTAAATCCTATAATAATAGTTCGTAGGTCAAAATAAAGCTTATAATAAGAGGGACAGGAATATGAATAGTTTAGTTACTTAACAATTATATAATAGGAAATATACATATCACATTGCTCCATAAGTAGTTTTCAAAGTTACCATTCATAAATCTCCACGGGATATAGCAGACAGTTATGCTCGTTTCGACAGAAATAGTTTTACTTTTTGAATGTCTTCAATATTACTTCGCGACTAGTCCTTTTAACTGTTTTTTTTATTTAATCAATAACTTATTACAGCACATCTATCCACCTTGTAATCTTACCATTTTTTATTCACGTGTCAATAAGAATTATTACATCTTACTCGTTGTAGTCTGTTTGCTGTGTTTTAGGCATTTTACCAGTGGAAAGTATTCAGATATTATTGAGTGGGTTTTTGTTTTATTGCTACAAGTTGACTAACTGACTAAATGAATAAATAAAAAAGTTAGTAAGAGAGTAAACTTCATCATTATCGAGAAACATCAAAACTCATATAACAGAGTTGTCATGATTCTCCAGCAAATTTGATGTTTCAAAGATATATACATGGTTTAGAAAAATTAATTTCCTTACGTTCTGTTTGAGGAATGTTTAGAAAACTATTTGCTGTGCGAATATGCGACTTTAACAAATTAAAAACTTATAAAGATTCACGAAAAAGGGGTAGAAGATACAAGAAATCAATTAAATACTGAAATAGGTTGTACTGAAAAGCGACGTTTTTTGATGAGGAAGAGAAAGAAGAAAAGGGATTTTGACTTTTGAACTATAGAACTGTTAGTAGAAAACTGATTAATCTCTAACTGAATATTTTTGTCTGTTCATTAAATGAGAATTTCTTGAATGACTCCTTTTTACAATCTCTCTTTACTCCTCTTTGATCACTTTAATTATATGGAAAAAATTCTTGGGAAAATAATCATGCAAATTATCTTAAAAGTAAGGTTTAAAATTCGAAATCTCGTTCCTCAGACAGATGATTCAACTTCATCTATGTATATAACATAAAAATCCATTTATTTTTGCTTTACTTGACTAACCTTACTAGTTTCTGTAACACTTAATGGGAGTTCTTGGATTTTTCAGTCTAACTGACGTTTACTACAGTTAATCATCTAATAGGAATGCTTTTTAACTCTCCTACTTAAAGTTAATTTTCCAAATTGCCTTTTGCGAATGAAACAAGAAATAACGTAATGGTGTGGTACGCTAAGATCTATTCTTTGAACTAAATATCATAAAAAGTCACGTTGCCCGGTTAGTCGATGAGAGACTTACAAAATGTTTGGTTACGATCTTTTCATCTGAGAGTTGGTTTCATTATACAAACTACGTACTTCCTAAGTTCATTTAAAGTGAATTTGCTTCCAAGTACCATTTTCACCAACTATCTTTTTATTTTTCTATATAGATGTGTAAACTAGAATAGTGAGGTTGAATGTTGTCACAACTTTTAAACATGTATAAAAAGTGGACCACCCTCAAGCTCAGATTCTTTTTAATATCCTGGTGGATTATTTAAATATTCAACACAGTATCAAAGAGGAATTGAAAAGAAAGTTTACATTTACAGGAAATATTTATTATCAGTATTAGTTTGGTTGAATAAACGCAGTATAATCCAAGGTATCCAAATCAGTTTATAGATTCTGAAGGAAACAGCTAATGAACATCTATTGTCACGGATGGCATTTTAAGTATGATGAAATTGTTCAGTCTGTGTTCATTTTTAATACTGAAAGTATTTTGTCAAGAAATTTAGGTTTTCGCTTCAAAGTTGTATCATTTAGAGTTACTAAAAACCTCTGCGTAAAGGATAGACACTTTGTCCTCATAAGGTATTCGTATTGATTAAAGTTATTTGAATATAAATAAAAGTTTCGAAGAATACTAGTAGTTTTTTTATTTAAAGTATTTAATCTTTTTGATTTCACAAAACAAGCTGATAGTAGTTAGAACATTACTGTTAGGAAACCTAGCGCTTATGGACCTCTTATACCAGTTGTAAAATATAGAGTCTGAATTTTTTCACTTGAATGAATTCCTGGCGGTCTGTTGAGCAGATTATACTTTGGATTCTAAATATGTTCTAAAAATAACTTGTAAAAGTATTTTTTAATCTAAAATATAATAAAATATAAAAAGCATCATGAATAGTATGATTTGAAGTAATTCATTAAAATGAAACATTATAAATGTATCCTTTTAAATTTGATGACTGATAGCTTACCAAGTATGGTACCAGGACCAACGATACATAAGTCTATCTTCTTCAATGCACAACGTTTTTCATTAACGATGTATCCCATACGTCGTACTGGGTAGTTTGAACTGAAAATAATTTAAAGAATAATTTAAATGAATTTTTCCAAGGCTTGGATAGCGATCAGCGAACAGAGAAAATCACTTTAAATTCATGTTGAACATATTGCCATCAAGTTTTGTCACACAGAGTTGGTCATGGCTAATCTTGTTTTACTTTGGTAATGCAAACTGATAGTGTAACTTGATTTGCTGCATGAATTCATTTTTAATGTGATCTACTAAGTTTCATTCGGCGAGTTATTTTTAATAGTTTTACTTAATTATATAACCATTTATTTCTTGTTTTGGTGTTTTCGTTAGTGACATCTCTATTACTTTATATTGGCCAAATTTCTACATATAAATGCGGATGACTACTAATTACAATGCATATTTTTATTGTTAAGCAGAGATGGATAGTGGGTAGCAGTGGAATCCAGGAGGCGCGTTTCATCCTTTTGGGACTCGTTAGCTGGATGTACCTGGATGTATCCATCTCTGCTTACCATGCTTGTGAATTAAGGCTATATTGAGGCAATACGCACAGTATGCACATATGTCAATTAGAGACTAACCAGTTGCAGTCCTAACACACCGATGAGAAGATTCAAACATACAATACCAAATGAATGCATATTTTTATTGTTTATCCTTATTTTGTGATTTAGTGTCCCCTCTTAAGTTTACTTCTCAACTTGACGAACGAAACGAGATGCTTTCGGAATAACAATGAATATACTTAGATGCAATGCTGATGATTGTTATTTAGTTTCTTAAGGTTTCATATCAAAATATGTCTTTTAGTGATAAAACTGATACGTTTGCATAACTTACTTTTCAGTATGGATCAGTTTGTGATCATCTATTTCTGTCGAAGTGACAGAATATACAGGAAGTTTTAAATCAGGATACTGTTTGGGATGCCTAAGAATATCTACGGAGACTTGAGCTTGACCACTACAAAAGCAAAATACGGTATGTAAAACTCAGTTTTATATAGTTTTAAAACCAAGAAACATCGTATAATAGTTTACACAAAATATTGTTTAAAACAGTACATAAAGATCAGGTGAAAATTAAGACCGAAAGTACAATTATCGATCCAAAACATCTACAGAGATGTATCTTCAAAACGACAGAAGAAGTGATCATCGAAGATTATCTTTGATTAGTGAAATAATACATTTGTGTTCAACGTATTATAGTTGGTTTTCGGTTCGCTATCATACAATTGCTAATTTATGAGAATTACAAGTAACCCTAAATTGATACACTGTGTAATAGCCATGCTCAATGAATGTGATTTTCTAAAATATTAACACTCCTCTGAAAACTTGTTTATATTGGTCATATATTAACTTATCATCATGTACTACACTGATAAAGTTTTCATTTCCCAAAAACTTATTAAAATGGAGTGTCATATAGCCACTTAGATAATTTAAATAAAAAAGCACAGTAGTATATTTAGCGTTACATGCCGAATTTACTGTATTAAAATTCAGTCAAAAATATTCCACCACCATAGTTTATATGAGTTCATAGTCACAGAAAGAAAGTCCCATCTTTGGGTTCAACAATTAAGACGTTTCTGTTCTCACTCAACCACTGAACATGTTCTCCTTTTGTCATGTTATCAAAAATAACCAAATTATAAGCTTTTTGCAAACATCCAATGCAGAAGGTTGTTCAAAAGACCGAAGAAGAACATTTATCAACACTGTCATGGCTTTTACTCAAATATCTCAAAAGTAATCAAGCAAACGTGCTAAAATAATGATATCTGACTGAAGCGTTGGTTAACTGTGAAGTATAATCAATCCTCCAAGTTATTATACGGAAAGCAACAGAATTTTGTAAAATCATTTTCAACGAAAATAGAGGAATTTGTTTGATATCACTACCAGTCAAATAATGTGGACAGGATTTTATGTATTGATTCCCAAAATAGTATTAGTTTTGTTAATCAGGTCAAAAGTAAACCTTACCTTTGATCTGACTTTAGACATGGTTGACTAATATCAACGTTAAAAGTCAACGTTAAAACCACTTACATGGATGTTTTTGGTAGACAATAACCTACATCTAGAAATATATTTTAGTGTTTGCCAGCGTTGGGTGAACTTGCTGTTATTTGATTTCTTGAAAGTACAATACTGATTTTGTAAGCTTAAAGGATGTTTAGATCGCAGAATATTTCCTATATTTTAAATGAAAGGTCACTATCTTTTGCTCGTTGATGTTTCTTTGATTATTTTTCTCTCAAATTTACTGTTCTTGAGATGACAACTTTGCTATTAAGTATATTATTTTATAAAGGTGACACATTTTTATAGATACCACAGTTTTATATGTCCTGGTTGCTTTATCTTTTAAGAAGTACAATAACAAAACAAAATTTGTATTTCTTTTGTTATATCACATAATTTGTCAATATACTTAACGTCCATACAAAAGTAAACTAATGACGTTATCTGAAAGTTGAGTAACCATATTAACTAAACAGTAATAAATACTACTCACACGTCATGTAACACTTACGAAATAATAAACACTAATCCATTCACTGGTTCTTCTTGACGAACAAGGTTTGCTTCAAATGGAAAATCTGTTTGAGCTAGTGACATTGCTGCTTGTTTCTTCAAACTTTGAATCCATCCATTAAAAAGTGGACATTTATCAATGAATTCAATACGTTTTTTGAAATCAGCCTCATGTATATCTTTAAGTGAACGGTTGTAAGTTGCACGATTAATAACAGCTAAATGGGTTTTGCAATCAGCAATTACTGTTGCATTTCTTATGCAATCTTTGTTGATTAAAGCCAGTTCTCCAAAACTTGCACCAGTTCCTGAATGTTGCGAAATGGCGTTTTAACAAAAAAGTAATTACTGATAAATGATCAATTTACAAGACATAAGCAGACGTTAATAAATAATAATAATCATCTTTTTTAAATGAGAAGCCATGAAGAGTTCTGGTATTTAATGATGTATTAAAAATGGAAATATGAGGCCTAGTTCATAAGTCAGTATGAAACATTTATTGTTCATTGAGTCTGAACTGATATTATTTCAGTGATTAGTTTATCTATTTATGTTATGATATTCTCAAAAAACCAGTTACATGAATGCTGATAATTCATCTTTTTACAGGTTAACAATAACTCCCCCTGTAGCTCTTCTAGGGTTACTGCCGGTCCAAAGCCGGGGTAAAGGAAGAAGGTTTGAAATGGGGTCAACAACCTCATCCCGTAGAAAACAACCTTGCTATAAAACGCTAGTCATAACAAACAAATTAAACCAAAGTTTAACAATCCTAAATGATACTCGGTAGAAAGCAATTCTTTTAATAAACTAAATTACCTACACATATGAGACTATAACTCAATTTAAAAAAAATAACCCATGCAACAAACATTTACAGTTACCAAAACTGACAACTAAGTTTCCACATTTTTCTCGATTAGTTGCTTTACGCTCCACAGAATGTTTGACTGAAGGCCCAGATTCCTCTTGTTGGTGAACTACTTCTTGATCATCATGTACAAGTTCAGTATTCACATAAATTGATACATGACCAGATAGAATGATATAAAAACTGAAAAAAAGATAGTTAAATAATGCATTCTAAAAGAATACACTAAAATTTAATTGTATGTAAGTAAAAATTGAAAGCTGAAGTGCATAAAATCAGACCATTAACTAAATTTTAATCATTACATAATTTTGATAGTTGAATTCATGATTCGATCTCATCCAGATTACTACTGAAGACCTGGAAGTACTAGACGGCCGTTTCATCCTAGTATGGGACTCCTCAAACAACAGATGAAGGATCACAGATTGATTGAAGTTAGACATTAATAGCGTTGGATACCAGCTCAGTGGTCTAGAGGTTAGGCGTTTGCGCGCGAGACTGAATGTCCTGGGTTCAAAATTCCGCGTGCAGCATTAAGGATCCGCACTGCTTAGGAGTCCCACACTATGAAAAAACGGTCGTCCAGTGCTTCCGGGTTTTTGATGGTGGTCTATCTTACATCGACTCATGAATTCGAGTATTAAAATTACTACATTATCCACAAGTCCCCAAAATTCGTCACATAATTACTGGATATATTTGTAGCAATTGCAGTATAATAAATAAAATATCTTCGAAAAGTCAAGTTAAAATGACTCTCTACTAACCCCTTTTTCATTGATTTAATTTGGAAGAGTACAATCCTTGCTATTAATTCACCTTAACTTCAATTTGATTTATAATTATTGTACAGTTTCTTTTTAAGTTGAATCAAAAATATTCACTACAGAGATATTCTGAAAAAGTTTAAATTAGAAACTTAATCACTCAAGTCTGAACCTTCGTTTCTTGAATAAAATCGTAAATAAAAGGAAATCCGTACCTAGAAATGTAGTATCAAAATCTTTTGTTGATATATTCAGAGAAAGACCAGATGTTCACTGTACCTCAGTTCATAAAAAATAACAAAAATCACTTGACTTTTTATAGTTATTCCTGAAGACTAAAAAAATTTATTATTTACGTTCTCAACCAATTGATAGTTTATTTAACCATACAATCCTGATATATCTTACTTTGTATGGTACACTGCAATAGTTTGCTAAATAGTTAAAATATACTTTTCTGAAGTTTTATTTGTTAGATCTAAACAATTAAAATTCTTCTTAACTTATGATCTACCTAAAATGTACAACATATAACTTCAACCTTTCCATCTAGAAAGTCCCAGTCGTGTGTATAAGTACATTTGAACAGTAATTCTTGTATAGTTATAAAATGTTATTCTTAAAGATTGTTGTATTAATCTCAGATTTTTCAATTATTTATTAGCAGTATCTAATATCAAATACGAAGTCAATGAATATTTCATATTTCAGTTGTTTATCGTTGTACACCTTACATAATGATATTTAGGTGGTAGATGATTTGAGAGAATAAATATTTTTATTCAAAAATTTCAGTAAATTTAAATACGATAACTGTCATCCATATGAACAAGAGTTTATAAATCTTTTTAAATAGTTGAGATCATGAGTCAATTGAAGCTAGAACACCATGGAAAACCGGGAAGCACTGGACGGCCGTTTCGTCCTATTGTGGGACTCCTCAGCAGTGCGCATCCACGATCCCGCCTTGTGAGATTCAAACTCAAGACCTATCGATTTCGCGCGCGAGCGCTTTACCACTAAACCATTGAGCCGGCATCCAACGGTGTTCATGTCTAAATTGTTATACATTTCACTATGGACCATATCTTTAATAGGACGTAATATTTGTTCTTATACTCCGTGATATAAAAATGTACCTAGTGAAGTTATCTTAGAAATAATTATTTTCCGGAATTACTTATCTTCTCTCATAAATTCTTAGCTTTGTACATTTCCTCAATACTTTTTATCTAAAAATAGGTTTCAGTCAAGTTCCATTCTTTTGATAAATAAAACGTTCAATATTACACAATACACTATTCTCTTCCATTTTTTTTTCTCATAAGAGAATACTTTTACAAAAACCAAACAATAGTTAAACCCATATATATTTGTAACTACTAGATAATCAACTTTCGTATATAAAATTAAACGATTTATAGATTTCACTAATTACAGAAATGTGGAGATATTTGTGGTGTGTACTACTTATATCGACATAAGTAGTATCTAATCTTTCATATCTGGGCAGTATCATTGGTGAACACGGTGGTCTGATACAGATGTGAAGGCGCGGATCTGCAAAGCAAGAGCAGTATTTCTACAATTGAAGAATGTCTGGAACTCAAAACAATTGTCAACCAACACCAAAGTCAGAATTTTTAATACAAATGTCAAGATGGTCCTACTGTATGGGGCGGAAACTTGGAAAACTGCGAAAACCATCATCCAGAAGATACAAGTGTTTATTAACAGTTGTATACGCAAGATACTTCGGATCCGTTGGCCAGACACTATCAGCAACATTCTACTGTGGGAGAGAACAAACCGGATTCCAGTGGAGGAATAAATCAGGAAGAAGCACTGGAAGTGGATAGGACACACATTGAGGAAAGCATCGACCTGCGTCACAAAGCAAGCCCTCACATGGAATCCCCAAAGTCGAAGGAGAAGAGGAAGACCAAACAACACACTACGCAGAAAAATGGAAACAGACATGAGAAGAATGGACAAAAATTGGATAGAACTAGAAAGGAAGGCGCTAGACAGAGTGGATTGTTGAATGCTGGTTGGCGGCTTATACTCCATAAACGCCTTATTTAAGCAAGGTTTTGAAAAGTTACTTTAAGAGCATCTAAAAAAGTTAATTTTCAGTTAATTTTCTAACACGAGAGATAAATATTATTGAAATTAAGTTCTTATCATAACCACATTCCTTTAAACATGATTTTAATTCACCTAGAGGATAGTTTCTTGTCGTAAATTGTTTACATATATATAATGACAAAGTGATTTATGACTATGAAACAACTTTGTTCAGTACTAATTATTCTTTAGTTTATTAGAAATCTGTATTGATTTATATCAATGTAATTAACCACATAGAATTATTTCCATTTCTATTAACTATTAAGAGTAGATGTAAAGTACTGTTTCTTGGTCATTTGATTAAATTTACCAATGATTAGTAACTTATGACCTAATTTTAATCAATTCACAAAAATATATAAAACAGTAATTCATTGTTTTAGTAAGTATTAAAGATTACCAAGGTGACGGAAATAATTAATAATTAAAGCCTAATCAATAAACTTTAAACGTTTTTTCGTGAGCATTTATCGAAGTGCAGTTAATTACCAGTTTGTGTATATATATTTTTTAAAACTTTGTTGTCTTAATACTTCTTTAGTGTCAAACAGTATCGTAGTAATTTATGGGAATTACGATCACATTGTATCCTCGATCACTTTTATTTGGTATAGAAAGCTGGAGAAATCGGTAGTATAACATGAGGCCTATAATCAAAAAAAATCCTTGATATCAAGGTTGCATTGTCGATATTTTCATTACGGAGTTATGACCGTAGTATTTAAATCTTTTGGCACTATGTAAAAAACTACTTAGTCAAATGTCAATCAAAGAGATTTAAATTAATTTAATAGTTGAATTTATGAGTCAATTAAATCTAGACCACCATAGAAAACCTAGAAGCATTGGACGGCCGTTTCGTCCTAGTATTAGACTCCCCAGAAGTGCAAATCCACGATCCTGCCCGCTGTATTCGGACCCAGGACTTGTCGGTCTCACAACCAGTGAACTTCAACCGGGTCTGTTGTGAGATTGAAACTCATTAAAGACAATGATGAACAGTGGCGCAATTTTGTGGATTGATTGAAGTGAGACATTAACACCGTTGTATGCCAGCTCAGTGGTCTAGAGGCTAAGTGTTCGCGCACGAGACCTAAGAGCCTGGGTTCGAGTCAGTTTGTACAAATAATTTTATACTTATTTCTATGATAAGAATAAATACTTAATTCTATTATCCATGGTAAATAATACTAGTAATCCGTTATGTTACATAATAAAAATGGAAATGACTGTGGATACATTTGGCCATTTAATATAACTGAATGCTTTTAAATTATTGATTTGTTAAACACAAAATCAGTGACATTACTGATCAAACTATTGCAGGTAAAATCCAATCATTTATATCAGTCAATGAAATCGATTTTAACTCATGATTCTTTGTGTAATAATTTATCGTAATAAATTATTCCCTTTTTCAATATAACTGAGATATTCATGATAAGTAATGGTTTTATCCAATTTTAAAGTAACAGCTAGGCAAATTATATATGTATTATTACTCCCATAGTCAAAGGTTGCACAAAGTGAAAATTTTTCTTCAGAATACTGTAAAGCTAGTCAAACTTTAACTTACCTTATATATGGGAAAACTCCATAATAAGATTTTCTTGTTGAAATCATTTTACATAATCTAAACGGGTGTATGGCTTATATGAATAAAGTCAAAAAACGACTTGTAAAGATTTATTCTACGTTAAAAAAAACCCAACGTAGTTTCCATTTTTCGAGGTCAGTAGAAGTAGGATAATGAATTTTTTGCAGAAGTTAGTTTGTTGGATGACGTGACATTATCGGGAGAACCACTAACAATAGAAAGCAACATATGGTTATTTCGTCCTAGTTATTGATATTGTAGTAATATGCACTCATAAACACCTTAAGGATCAAACCTAAGACTTTCAGATCTAATGGTGAACTTGACACTTTTAGGTGAATGCTGGTTATTTTTTATTTTGCAATATAGCGATACCAATAAATCATAAAGATCTAATCCTTTGTAAGAAATACAAAACGAAAATAATTTCATGAATAAAAATGAAGTTTATAATGAAAAACAAGTATAGCAACTAACCAATCGCCTTCTTCAAACTGACGTATAATTATATCATCCGTTTCACGTTCAGAGAATTCACAGTTCTTAATTATATCTTTGACAACATCTAAATGATGAGTAATTTATATATTATAGTTGCTAAAGACAGAATAATACCAGAATTGAGATTGGAAAAAAATTTCACTTTTTCAACAAACCATGGACAAATTTCTTCAATTTCATCTGTCGTTCTTTCACTTGGTGGTTTTATAATGCTTGTAACAATTTTATCATAAAATATATCAGATGTCGTTGACATGATTTATGAAATGGTAATGATCTATAATCAAGAAAATCACGGAAAAAATTCGATAGTTATAACATAAAAGCAATGGTCATGCAGCATTTTAAATTGACATCTTTTGTGTTTGGTGTGTTTATGAAGATTGTAGTAGTTTCACACTTAAAATCATGAACTGATCTTAGATATATCACTTTTAAAAATCTGGAAGCACTGGATGGCCGTTTTGTCTTAGTGTGGGACTCCTTAGAAGTGCATTCACGACCGCGCATACGTGAATCGAACCCTGGAACTTCACTCTCACGTGTGAACGCTTAATCATAGTGGTCACTAATGATTAGCTTGAAGACATAACTCTTGAGGTTCTAGTGAGAATCTGTAATCAGCGGAGTCTGATCCGTGTGGAAAGTGAGATAGTTATCCACTATAGGCAATGGAAAAAGGGTTGCGTAATATATTGGATTGTTTTCGTACTCAAGTTGTCGTTCATAGACTTTTCCTTTGCCACTGAGTTATCAAAATAAAACCATAAAATTAACCAAATGAATTAATCGGTAAAAATGAAGATTTATCGCTATATACCTCCATTTTTACTGTACAATCACTATGTGAGCATGTTAGGTGATTCGAGGCCATCGGTTGGAACTCCTGAAACTGTTCTATGCTAGTTCATACCTTCTAGCAAGTTATATTTGAAATCTTAAGGAGATTGAAGTTTATCTAAACCATTTTCATTCCAGAGTTACGATCAATTTCACTCACGTTAACCAATTTCATTATTTATTGTGTATTCATATTTTTTACTTACTTTCGCGTATGTCCTAAACTGATTAGCAATGATTGTTTGACCAAAGATGCATGTTACTACTGCTTTTTATATCAGAATTATTGACTGATCAGGAATTTTATCAAGTGGTTCCTAGGACTCATTCACTATCATATTTCTAAAGGTAATTGTTATGTTACATCATACTAAGTAAAGGCACTTGATAGTTTAATGCCAAAGAATAATAATATAATAGATTACTCGATTTATTGATTTCACAGAGATAATAATACTTTGCACTCACTAAGTCACTTGTCTAGGTTTCGTCACATTTTATAATCTTGCCGACTGATCTATGAGGATGTGTTTAATGTAAAGCTGATTTCCATAATCTATGAACAAGCTGAAGAATTATAGATAGCTGAGAATTACTACAAAACTGTTTTATCTCATTATAGGACTCCTTGGAAGTGTTAATAAGGGTATTATGTGTGCCGAAAAATCCGGTAATCTATGATTTGACCTTGGGTGAAGTGTGACTAAAGATTAGTCTCAAACTAGAACTAAACAGTTACCCTATACTCTATGGCTTTTCCTGTTTCTTCAACTAGTGTTATTTGTGTAACGAAAACTATAGTTACTACTCATTATCACGTTTCTACCATGGTAGACGTTTAAAAGTAGATGATTAAGTAATAACCGAAAAAATCAAACCATAATATACTATTGGTCTTGCGATTCAATATGTCGATAATTTAGCCTCTCAAAACTATGGTAATATATACAGCCTATAAGCTTCCATTTTTCGTATTGTTGTTGGTCTCTGAAATTTAGTTAAAGTTTAAGAAGCTACTAGGTATCCATACATGAAATACTAACCTAATTATGCCCAATCATAAATGTTAATTTTGCCTTGTACCTATTTATCTTTGAGAAACTGTATACACCACAGTACCATTCAACTCAACTCTGGCCTAAGTGACAACACTGGCTCAGTAAAGTGATGTGAATAGATAAGCTGGAATTTAGAATGTTTAAAATGTTTCAAGCACCTTGTATGGAGAGTATTTACTAATTTTAACATCAAAAAGTAATAAGTCAGTAATAACACACTTAGTAATTCTATATCTACTAGTATTTTGAACTCCATAAATAATTTTCGCCTGTGGGATCTATTTTTTATTTTGGATTGTGAACAAATTCTTATATTGTAGTGAACAGAAACTCAGGCGGGGGAATGCCAATATTTTAAATCAGTGACTCAATAAAATATGAAAATCATACACTAAATACATCATTTACGCATCTTCTTTGAGTTTCCTTTACGTACTCCATCATTCCTCTAATTCTGTTGTCATTTCGACTGCCCACCGATTTTCTTCGTGTTATCTTTATTTTAATCTTCTGCTGCCTTGCATTCCACTTCCGATTGGCGCTATGAACTGCTTATATATGTCTGCAAAAGTAGCATGCACTATAATATGACTTAATTCAATCTGTTATACTCTTTATTCAATTTTTTGTTTAATATTCATTTAATTAAACTTATCCTAAACCAAGTTACTTGGAATTTATGTTTATCCTGATATAATATATCTAAGTCGAATTTTTACTACAGTTATTACTTAGAAATTTGTATCAACCTGATCATGCTTGTAATTTAGTGTGTATTCTGAACTAATCACCGAAATATAAGTTCTTACGATTATTTAGAAGTAACTAATAACAGAAAGAACTCAAATTTTTGAAGTTTATCAAGTCATAAGTCATAGTAAAGTCAATAAATGAAATTATATCATTTGTGTACTAAAAATTATTCGTCCTCTATAAAGAAGAAGTCTGTAAAAACTGAAAATTACTTTCTGTAATAAAAACGACCATGAATCATTCTTAAACTATTCATTTTAAAAAATGAGATCTGACTGTTTTAAACATCAAAGTGACAACGTATTGAATGGACTCAGAAGTATCAATAATATATAATAGTGCTTTAGTAAATTACCAAAAATAAAAGCTAATCAAAGCCCTTTCAAATTAGATATTCAATGACATTTATCCAACGTATAATTATGTTAAAGATCTTTAAAAATAATGTTATAACTTGTGGCCTAGTGTATGCCCTTTTAACGTATGACGTGATAAAACCGCCAATCAGAGAGCAGTGAACTATGGATTAGAACAGTGATATATGAATCCGTACGAACAGTCTAGAGTACTTGTTGGTCCTGCTTCCGCCTAGACCAGTCAGTTAAGTCCAGAACAGCTTCTGCGGTATGAATCATTATATTTCAAACATACTGAGTTTATATACCAATCAAACTGACCTCATCGTACCATAAAATAGAAAACAACATTTGTACAAGATTCAGCCAAATGTGGCTGTGAATGTGGGAGGCAGTAATTAATAGACTAGGGATAAGTCAAGAATGTTAAATCGTGTACTAATAGTCTATAGGTCAAAATAAAGCTTGTAATAAGAGAGAGATGAATATGAGTAGTTTAGTTATTTAGCAATTATACGATAAAAAATATATGCATAGTATTGGTTCATAAACAGATCCCAAAGTTACCATTCATTGTCCTTATTGAGGTATAACAAATAATTCAAGGAAAAATATCATTACATGTAATTTCGTAATAAACAGTTATACTGTTTAATTTGAGAGGTGAGCACTATATAAATGTATACCTTGGTCATTCACTAATTCCGACAATGACTTTCGTAGCATCATAGAAGCGCTAATGTTTTTCAAATTGTGAGTGATCATATTAACATAGTGGTATTAATTCATAAGAAATTAAGCCTTGTTAACTATAACTACTGAGTAACTATCAAATCAACATTTTACTGGTCTTTAATAATATTTGATATGATGGCAAAACTTTCATCATATATTAAACATAACTTCTCAAGTTTGAGATAAAAAACTTTACTAATTATATATTTTATAGCAATTATTTCCATAGTTGAAATCATGAGTCGATTGAAGCTAGAACACCATGGATAACCTGGAAGCACTGGACGGCCGTTTCGCCCTATTGTGGGATTCCTCATCAGTGCGCATCCACGATCCCGCCTCGCGAGATTCGAACCTAGGACCTACCAGTCTCGCGCCAGAGCACTTTACCGGCTCAGTGGTCTATCAGTGGTCTATCTCCTTAAAACCCCTTGTTAGCAAATATTTCCATTAATATTTTTAGCATGAAAACTTCATCAGTTTTAAACTTTCAGTATATAACTACTTTTGAAGAAGCTATGACAGAAATACATGAATTAGATCGATATTGTCTTATCTAAAAATAATATGAAATTGAAAATGTTTTCTACAAGTTATAATCGTTTTAAAGTATTTTGATCCGAGGTACTTTATATTTATTGACTAATATAATTCAAGCTACGCTTACAGATTATTTCACATTTACACATTACTTTACGTTGATCATAGTGATAAACAGCTGTTTCTTGTGTTTTACTAACTCCTCGGCTGTTAATAATTTGGATTACCTTTGAGATGAATCATTAATGGGTTTAATGAAAAATTATGACATGTATTACTAACTGAATTACATTTGAATAGGTTATTCTTGGACGATATTAGATAACGACTGCTCATTATCATAGATTGACTTGAATTTAAAACGAAGATCTTTGGTCTTAAAACAGTATGCTTTTAATGAGTTCATAATGTCCGAGGTTTGATCTTGTTTGAAGTCGTGAGTGAGCAAACCCAAATAGTCCCATGCAAGAGCAAAACAAACAACCAGTGCTCCTTAATTCTCAGCAGTCACTTGGTAAATATTGGCTCATTATGAAAATCATGTTCAAAATTTACCCTTTAAAATACTTTAGTGAATACTTTATTAGTGATTAACTCAGTAAACAATAACAGTTAATATCTAGAGTTTATTTTCATAAAATTAAGGATATACTCACCTAAACAATAAACTTGATATAGGTGATCAATGCGAAAAATTCAAATGAATGCTATTTGTTTATAATATTTTATAAATATCAAGTAATCATTTTATAATTGGATAGTTTAAATTATTGCTTACAAACTGACAATTTTATAGATCAGGTGGAAGATGTCCAATTACAATTCACTTAACCAGATGATTTGAATAGCTGTGCTCAATTGAATGACACAAATAAATATTCAGTATTTTACTACTTATTTAAGGTTCAACAACAAAATGGGAATATTGTTATTATTAATTTATGTTGATCTTTAGCTGAATGTAATTACTCTCATTGTAATATCATTACTACTAGTGGTGGATTTACTACTTTTTACTTATTGAAGTCTTCGTGATGATTTACTATGTCAAGAAAGCCACTCATGTTTTATTTGTTATTATGATTCTATGCTCATTTTGCTTAATGAATTAATATTGATTACTTTTGAAATTTGTTTAAGGGAAAATTTGTGACACGGTGGTCATAATCAAAGTCACTTATCGTAGAAGGAAAAAATATTGTAGTGAACAAGAATACAAGTGGGGACAATCGAATGGATTTAAGCACAAATTACAGAATATCTCACTAAATTCTGATAACCATACAATGAACAGTTAATTCGCAAAATAACAATCAATTGTCTCGATCTTAACTGTTCATTCTGCAAATATCAGTCCGTCTTCTCTGATTTCATTGTTCATGCATTTTCCTACTGATTGCGCTTCATTCCTGTTCGTTCATTGTCGATCTGTCAAAATACATTCTATATCTGACCATCACCATATACTACTTACATGGATATAAGTAGACCACATCACAATATCACTACAGTAGATTCCATAATTAGGAATAATAGCATTTTATCCAAAGTTATCTAAAAACATAGTTTCAACTACGACCACATGAGTTGAAGTACACTCCTGGAATATCAACTCACACAGTCTGTTCAACACACAGTATGGAATTTTTCATAATAATGCTGAAAATATCAGATCATTTTAACTGTAAAATCTAGTAAAGTAGTTATTAGTCATTGTGTAGCTTTATATATTCTTGTTTTGTCTTTGATATTAAAAGATAACTGTTTTTATAGATGCAGTTACACTGAATTATAAATAAAGGAAAACATAACTTTCTTCGAAGTAGATGGATTTAAATCACAAAATATAATTTTAATATCAAAATAATTTGATGAGAGAGTAAAACTCAGTAGCCTGTTAAAAGAAGTTTACTAATCAAAGCTATTATTTACACTAATTTACTTGTTAGCATTAACCGTTCTCAGACTATTCGACTAATATGCATGGCATTTCAAAAGTCTAATAAACGTGGGAAAATATACTTTGAACTCTAACTTTATATACGAAAGGTTAGATATCTTCATAATAATACTGTGGTTTATTTAAAACAAATCTGTTAGACAGTATATTTGGAATTTGGTGTTACGATTGTTACCAATGATAGCTGTGTAATATACCAGTAAATGAGCAGATACGTAAAACAAAAATACATTTAATGAAGTTTGTGTAAATGAATAGGGAGTTTACAATATATGTGGAACTTTCTATTGTGTTCTCTATTGAAACTTACTTACTTACTTACTTACTTACTTACGCCTGATGCTCCTCGTCGAGGAGCATAGGCCGCTCACCAGCATTCTCCATCCAACTCTGTCCTGAGCCTTCCTTTCCAGTTCTTTCCAGTTACTATTCAGCCTTTTCAGATCGGCTTCTATTTCCCGGCGTAGTGTGTTCTTTGGCCTTCCTCTTTTCCGCTTCCCTTCCGGATTCCAAGTTAGGGATTGAGTCGTGATGCACATTGGTGATTTCCTTAATGTATGTCCGATCCACTTCCAACGTCTTTTCCTAATTTCCTCTTCAGCTGGAAGCTGGTTTGTCCTCTCCCATAAAACGCTGTTGCTGATAGTATCCGGCCAGTGGATGTTGAGTATTTTGCGTAGACAACTGTTTATAAATACTTGTACCTTCCTGATGATGGCCGTAGTAGTTCTCCACGTTTCAGCTCCATACAGTAGGACTGCCTTGACGTTCGTATTAAAGATTCTGACCTTGAAATTGGTTGAGAGTTGTTTTGAGTTCCATATGTTCTTCAATTGTAGAAATGCTGCCCTTGCTTTGCCAATCCTCGCCTTTACATCTGCATCCGATCCTCCTTGTTTATCAACGATGCTCCCCAGGTACTTGAATGTTCCCACCTCTTCCAGAGTTTCGCCATCAAGTGTGATTGGGTTGGTGTTCTCCGTGTTGCATTTGAGAATCTTGCTTTTTCCTTTGTGAATGTGGAGACCTATCGATGCGGAGGCTGCGGCTACATTTGCTGTCTTCATCTGCATTTGGTCGTGTGTATGAGAGAGGAGGGCTAGGTCATCTGCGAAGTCCAAATCATCCAATTGATTCTGAGCTGTCCATTGTATTCCGTATTTCGCTCCAGATGTCGAATTCTTCATAATCCAGTCGGTCACTATTGAAACTTAAGATACTATTAATAGTTTCTTCTAACCCATTGGTATGAAGTAACTTTTACGAATCAAACTTACTAGCGAGAAGAAATTTAATCCCAGTGACTGAAGCAGATTTGCATAGACAAAACTTGGAGTATTGGCTGAAGAAAACTGTGATCAAACAGTTCTAAAAACGCTTTTTATTAAAATTTTTATTCTTTAGTGCTCTTTATCACAGATTAAAATTAATGAAATAATTTCTGAAATCAAAAATAATTTGTCAACAGATTCATTTAATGAGAAGGGGATTTTGTGAAAATTTTAGTAATATAATGGTTGAATTCATGAGTCAAATAAAGCTAGATCACCATGCAAAACCTGGAAGCACTTGATGGCTATTTCATCCTGGTTAGGTATTACTGAGGATTGGATGTTCATAACTGTGTATAGAATGGGATCCAGAATCTTCAGAATCATGCAACGATTACCATAGTTATCACTTATGGGATTGAATAATGGATATTTTTAGGATTTTTAAAAAAACACTATTGATGATGGTACTAGAAGTTCGTTAGTGCAGATTTCTGAGTTCCATAAGTTTTTCTAACACTTATAGTAATCAAACTAGTCAAACAATGGTAATTTTGTATGAATTGCTGAAAAAACAGCTATTAAATTTGGATATTTTCAACACTTTAGTGCACTTCAGCAATCATCACGCATGAAATGGCAAAAAATTGTGAGCAGTGTCGAGTATCTTTTCGACTATCTGGTGTAATTTGATTGATCACACTACACTCGCTTCTTGATTTTACAGTACGATGTGAGGTCTCCACGATAATCCAATATGGATTATCTAACCACCTGACATTACCAGTCTTGGGGAATTCGGCAGTTAATTGGAGGTTATTTTGACATGTATATTCAGCGATTTTCGTAAAGACATAATAAAGATTACATATTTTTCCTATTTGTCACGCTTTATATGTAACCACATTTATATTGAATATCTATTGTTTCTCTGCATCAGTGGTAAAGAAACGGAAATAAGTGTTTGTTTATATACTTATTACTGCTGCAATTGTTGAATTATAAACGCTATCTCCGCCGTCAATTCTTCTGTTTTATTGGCCACGGCCATTGAATGAAGTGTTATGACATCATTTAAGGCCTTCCTACACTACGTTCGAGATTTGGCCCAGATCATTATTAAATGATAATATCGGATTTAATCTTCCTCATTATGTTGTTGGTGTCACCACGTGCAGAGGAGCATTTGTTAATAAAGTGAACTCATTTGTGGTTGTTATCTCACAGAGAAGCTTACAAGTAACATTTATTTCATAACATATGTTATCATTTTGTTGTTCAATATACCATTTTATATTGTAACTGTAATTTGTTTCTTTTTACGCTTCCCAGAGACATACACTTAGGTTTGTAGCATTAATTCTTTTTGGTATATTATTGGTAACTTTGTGTATTGTTATATCTTGAATAGGCTCTTTTGCTGGGATCCACCACAGGATTGCCACTTCTTGACTGTTAATATATGGAAGTACATACACTTCAAAGTTTTACTGCATGTCTCTGATACTGATGCTGACCGCAACAGTTTGACTAGATAGACCTCTGTCTGTAGGGGCTCGGTCAAACATACGCCATGGTGCACATCACTTACGATAAATGATTAGCTTCTATTATATAAACGTCGAAATGTCAACTATTATGCAATCATTTCTTCACATTCTTTGGTCCTCAACACATGGTTCAACTGCCTTTTGGAGAGTTCTGGAACGAAAACTCCTCTAAGCAATGTTTATTTGTGGCATCGCAAAAGAATGCTTTCGATATAGTCCAGTGGGGTTGATAGAACGTGTATTTATCAAACAGTTGACATTTGATAAATTCGTTGTAACAGGAAAAATAGAAGTGTTACAATCCTTGTTATTTTTCCCCACTTTATACTTGTATCCTAACATTTTTATCTATTAAATGAGGTACATTAACCTACTCAAGTATTTTTTAACCTGTATATGTTCCTCAGTTATCTATGACCTTGTTAGTTATATTTATGAGCATTTCCATGTATTCACGTCCAGTTAAATATTCACAGTTTATATGCTTTTTTGCCGTAAGTTAGGAGTGACTTAACCTTCATTCACTGATTTTGACTATTGTCGATTTTCATAATCTCCTTGCTTGTTCGCAGAACACATGCATTTTTGAAACATATGTATCCAACATAATTTCTTTCTTGAATTCTAGTTTCCCGCTATTTTTAGTGATGAGGGTCGAAAGAACGAATGAGGTAATGCAAGAGTTTATGTTTCATTGATCATCGTCGTCATAATGTGTTCGAGACGGTGCTTCATTTATTCAGAATAAGTAAGTAAACTGATAATGTAAACAGTGTGAACAATCAAAGTGTAAGGATAACGAATGAACGGAAGTGATAATGTCAGAAGGGGGTTTTGTGGAGATTTTAGTAATTTTTTATATAGTTGAGATCATGAGTCAATTGAAGCTAGACCACCATGGAAAACCTGGAATCACTAGGTGGCTGTTTCGTCCTATTGTCGGACTCCTCAGCAGTGCACATCGACGACCCCGCCCAGCGAGATTTGAACTCAGGGCCTATCAGTCTCGCGCGCGAGCGCTTAACCACTAGACAACTGAGATTGCTGGCATCCAGCGGTGTTAGTGTCTAACTTCAACCAATCCACGAAATTGAGCAGCCGTTCACTATTATCTTCAGTGAGTTGATGTCTCCCAACAGACCTGGTTGAACCACTGGTTACTGCTTCTCACGAGAACTCCAGGATGTGATAATGGGTAAAATGTGCCTACCGATAATACTGGTAGTAAATTTGAGTCATGTGATGTATTTTGGGTACAGCTGGCTCAAACAAAAAGTGTTTACTAATGAGTGAAGTCGAAGTTGAATAGCCTCCTTTTACAGCCATAAACTGAAGTGGCTCTGGTTTCATTGGTTTTCAGAGCATTTCATTTATGGCTAAACGGTGATAGAAAGGGAATGCAACGTTCACGTGAGCTTCGACATGAGGTGGTCGTAAGTCTTAAACAGTGTCAGAAATGGCTAAGAAGTTATCATGTCTAGTTATTATTAGGCGAGGTAAAGAGGAGCAAGTGCTTTGATTGAGCCTCTCTGTCAGCTGTCACTGGTATTCTGGCCTTCTGTTAGCGAATGAACTAAGTTCTAAGGGGATGGTGATGTCCAAGGACTCAGTTAGCCTGACGCTTTTCCGTATCTCAAACAGTGTCACTGATTATTTCTTTAGATTAAATGCAGAGCCGATTTTTTGGGCGTACGCTTCCAGCTTTACTGTCTTTTTGGAGCTCTTTATAGTCGAATTCACACCTAGCAGGTCTTCACAGCTTGTGGTAGTTAATAGTGATAGGAACTGACAAGAGTAGGTCTTCTAAAAGTCATTTATATATGAGAACTGAACACCCGTGCGGAACACCGGGCACGGACTCACTCCAGTGTTGTCACCATCTGATGACTTTAGTGAACAATGAATGGTCTTATGTTTACACAGAAAAGCAGCCGTCCCATGAATCTCATCCCATTTAGTTTGATCCATAAAAAAGAGTGCGCTACTGTGTCAAACGCTTCAATCAAGTCAAGTAATTGTGACATTTCGGTTTGGACGGATTATTGATACGCACAAATTTTCTAGAGCTTGAAAATCGCCACGTTTGCACCATAATAGTTTTGCGAAGAATCATCTATGCGCATACAAAACAATGAATACCAAAATCATGCCCGGACACATTATGTCACGATTGTCACTTCTACTACAATGAAATTGGCTTCACACCTCTAGGAAACAGGATTTGATTTTCCAGGTAACCACTCACATTGGGATTAGAAAGTGTTTATTTAACTAGTCACAGACACTTAGGTCAAGCTATTATTTTAAAGTTGATAGATGCAGCGGTAATTCAATAGTTTGCTGTTCGCAAAGATGATAGGACGTTTTATATCTTTGGTCCTACATTCTATTGAGTTATAATCCCTTTCAGATTCTTTTACTGGTTGGGGAAACTTCATTTGACTTACTACTAGCCTCTTTCCCAGATATTACTGTAAAGTACCTGTTGGTTCTTCGCAAAGATACAACACTCAGTATCATAACTGAGCAGTATGTCCAATTTCGAATCAGAAAAGTCATCACTCCAAGAAGGTAACATCAGCTCGTTTGCAAACTTTTTGTAGATGGTTGTACTTCCGTGGAAAGAAATCAGAATACATCTGCTACAGAAAAGTTAATTAAACTTCCTCTCTCACGTGTTAAAATAATAGTAAAAACGGTGCCATCTGTTTCTCTAGTTACTTCTGAAGCACTGGTTTCGATCGGGTTTCTATGTGAGCAGTTTATTCAAGAATTTTGTCAAAGCGTTATTGAAATAACTGCGCAAGAAGGCAAGAAAACGGTCACTAAGCAACATGTTCAAAGTGCTGTTCAATCAATTCAAAAGTACGAGTTCCTTGATGGGATCATTGAGTGACTTGTATTTGCAGGAGGTTACTGCATTATATTTATTATAAAAAGCACCCGCATTGCCATAAAAGCATCATAAGACAGCAACCTGCCTATTTTGTACATTATTATTAAAATACATCTGATGCTTATTAATAACATAAGTATAATTTAGTTAAACGATTAGTAATGTGTGGCTGCTATACGGTACAGTGAGGTAATGGGCAGGCAGACTAGTATGCTTACTTAGGAGCTTAAGTGCTGGAGGCTGCTTTACTAAAGCGGCTTGTAGTGTTTACTTAGACTGATTTGTAACTTGAGATCGAGCAGAACCTATGCTGAAGGATTAAGACGATACGACGGGCCTCTAGGTTGATTAGTACTCACGAAGTTCGCAAGAACTCGACTGACTGTAACAAACTATGCGTAACGTACTGCAACTGCCAAGAAACGGGTGTATCCAAGCACTAGAAATGAGGGAAGAGATATCTGGGCTTTAGTTACTATGGTGTTAATAAATCTACTTTTGCTGCAAATAATTTGTTGTTCTTCATCCACTTGACCTTTATTCATGTTTTTAATTTTCACATCACATTAGTTGCTCTCTTAACTGTTGCACATCGAGGCAACTTTAGGTAGTGTACTCTAAAGGTCTTATGCACAGTCAGAGAGTTATTAGGTGTAGAAAGTGACCAACTTGGTCTCGTGTGCTGTTACGGGTATGAGGGCTAATATCACTTCTCGGCTGCCCACACCGTGGAAGGGTACTTCTTGAGTGACCTGAAAAAGAAGTTGGATTAGTGTTGGTCTTAACGACCTGGGAGCGTAACCGCAGTGCCCAAGGGACAACTGCTTGAGGCCGGTCACGCACGGCCTTTTTGTGGGAGATTTTTGACATGTTAGCTCCGTTCTTCAAAGGACCTTACCGCCGGAGACGGAAATGCGTGGGATAAGGCGAGGTGTGCATTTTTAGGGTCGACCTTTTCTAACCCCACCCCTCCTTGTGGGAAGGCAGCATCGCTGTCATGCTGGTTGTCTGGAGGAAACACCTTACTGCTGTCACACCTCTGTACAGTCGGCAGTACGACTTCGCCTTCGAACCTTGGGATTGCTGCTTTTAGTCTCACCGCTCTTCAACCGACCTGTCTGGCATGGTAGGACCTTGAGGAACGATTGTTCCAGCCAGCATAGCTCGCTCGGTTCATCACAATAGGCAAGCCCGACCACCACGTCAAGGTAGCAGCAACGGTCGGGGGTCTTATGCACAATGAGTTTGTGAACCAGGGTGGAGCAATCCAGTATTCTATGACTAGCTATACAAAGTGAGAATCTGTTCATCGAATCTTAGTAATAATTACTACGCTGTATCACAAGCAGATAAGTGTGTAGACGCCAGCCCTACTTAACAATCGAAGACTTGAGCTCCAGGTAGTCATTATCAAAAACAGTTGTTGAACGCTTGCTACTTCAAATCGAAACCTTAACATGAATCAACTCATGTCACCAAGCATTACTACTGTTCATAACGTAGCCCAGTGGAACTGCACCAATAATGTCGTAATTGGATAAAGTTCTGCTTGCAACATTCGCTTGAAAAAGTCATATTTATTATAATGATGATCATATTTAGCAGTCATAGACACCGGATGTATTGCGATAAATAGGGAACTAAGCTCCAAAACGGAACCTTTATTATCAGAGATGATACCTTTAACGAATTAGCCACACGACTGGAGCCTGTAAATACATCTAGATTCTCATTAAATTATGTCAACTGAAACATTGCTCGTAGCGACACCACCGAGAGTTGTTTCATTTTACCATGATTAAAAGCAAACCGGAGTATCCATCACTCCCAAATCTTTGTGGATTTAAATTTATCATGTCTCTAACTACGATGGCTTGGAAATATCCCTCTCCAATATCGATGGTTAATGACTGACCTAGGATGTTTATTAATTCAAATATCTCAGTGTGACTTCAAAGGGTTATTCATGAAAATCTCATGGCCAAAGTGAAGTCTGACAAACTCCTGTCACCTCTAGCTGTCATTGTGAGTTAGCTGCTCAATTTTCATTTGCTAGCTTACTGATTCTTTAGATTTCTAAAATGTTTACAAAACCTCGTTCTTAAGGAGTAAAATGAATATTTCAGTTATGTGCATAATAAAACTAGATTTCTACTCGTATCAACCTGAAGAAACCAAGTGGCATTCACACGTCCCCATTAGTCGTAAAAAAGAGTGTAATTCAGAAACCAGAATTGATTAGCTTCATAAAAAAACAAGCTGTGATGAAAAAAATAGGGGGAGATATTTGAGTTACTACAGCCATAGACTTGTAATGAAACTGAAAGTGATGAATAATGTCAACTGCGATACAAATTTTTATGTAGATTCAATCTGAAAATGAATTATCTTCAGAGTCAATTTCACCGCGTAATGGGTAGTTTTCAGGTTTCGGTTCATCTTTAAGCTTTGGAAGTTCAGGAGTTCTGGATTTCTTGAAAAATCGCCATAAAATGTATGAAAGGATGGATGATATGTAGATCATGTTCATAAGGAATGAAACGACAGAAATGCAAATTATGAAAGAAACCTGTGGGTAGTAGTATAGAATGTTTTGAAACCCACTAAGCGTCGTCTGTATTTTAAGCTCCGAAGCTGACCACAAGTAGCGTTCGGACTCCAGAATGATACGACCTTCCAAAACTGCTTGAGTCTAAAATGTTAATCAGTTACAACTAAGTAGATATTGGTACTCAGGTTAACATAATGTTATTTAACGAAAATATGATTTCTAACTTGATGAAATAATAACCAGCTAAGCGTAGGTTGCATAACAAAATATAGAGAATAATTTATGACAATCTAATAGAAGTTATGAATTTTCCATGGCATTGGAAGGTCGACAACTCTGGCAATTTAAACAAATTTTGTTTGGGTTTCTAATAGCTGCTGCTTTAGCCATCCGTTAAGAAGTTGCGCTCTTTTCTCTGCAAATTATTTTGAAGGTTTGATGAGGGTTGACAATATGCCATTCATCGACTAAATGTTGGCTGATTGCACTGTTTACGGATGTGGGAACTTTTAGGTCCAAGTTCTTTGGGAGGTGATCGTGAACGTACCACGGACTCTTCTCGTTATTATTTTAATAATTGTGCTTTAGCCATTGAATAGGCAGTCTTAAATGTGGTATTTAATCTGAGATTAGTTGGTCCAACAGTCTCATCCTCTTTGAAGACAAGGTGAAGGCGGCAAACTTAATTTTTAACTATCCCACATGACACGTTCGTCCTAGAATACTTATTAGTGAATTTCTGTATTCATTTGTACGAAAATGTTTCTGATGATTACGAGCTGTTCTTATAGTCTTTCATTAGAAGAAAGCCTACTAGTATGACCAAAAAGCAGTTAGTATACTTCGTCTTATAGAAACTATTTTAGCTCGGATTCCACTCCTTGGATCCTGGAAGTCGTTTAACTCCAAGTGCGAAGCTACAAATTTATATTTATCGTAGAAATATAACTTGAGGTTCACCTGTTTTTATTTATGCAATCTTTGTTTAACGGATTGCTATTTCATCCCCTTAAAAATTATCTTTCACTATCCCGACTCTTGAACTTATATGCTAATAACCACTGTTAATTAAATTTCCTCACTAGTATTTATCGTTATATTTCAATACGAATAAGGTTGCAAGCTACTGATAAGAACCCACCGAATGAAAGTGAATTTCTATTAGTTTGCGTTGATTGTTTTTCTTGTTGTACCAAAAAAAATCTAAACATGTTTATAGTTCATTTGCGATAGACTTAACTCGATATTAGTAGCTTTGAAGCTAAATGTCTAAATCTATAAATTAGAACTAATAGTGCCCAGTAAATGAAATGACTGTCAAGTTGTTCTACTGCAAACCGATAGTTTAAATTTCTGTTAATAATCTCAGTTATCAAATCGTAATCCTTTTAAACAGGATTTACAGTGATACATTCACAATCTAATGTTTTCAGTGGGGAAAAGCCGAAGTTTTCTATTGTTGTAGAGACAAGTGGAAGATCCTATGTAGCCTTGTGATCTTCAGCCTTATCCTTAAAAACAGGTAATCACAGAGAGATTGCTCTTTGATATATTCATATCAAATGATTAGCCGAAGATAAAAAGTAAAGCTTCTGTTACTAACAGTAATTAAATTGTAGTGAAAAATCGTACATGATCTTTCTTGGAATCAGAACCAAGTATCTCCTTAATGCTTGGGTCTCAATACTGATGGATTCTATTCAATACAAACCTATTGTTGCTTGTCGAAGTGATTCCTATAAGCTACCTTTTTAATTCAATTGTATGCAAGCGACCAACTTTACGAAAACACTAAGAAATTATTGTAACATTTTAGTAATCTCAAGTTCTTGTAACACAGTGGGACCTATATAGTAGCAAGCAAGGTGAATGATTTGAGCGCGCATCACTTATTTTCCAGGTTTATTTTGAGGTGGGAACTTCTTGGTGAACTATATTGATAGAACAAATTATGACTTTGAAATTTCAAAACGTTAATATCAATCTTAAAAGGAATTAGGTATGTAGTAATAGACTGACCGCATCGAACTGGAAACTAGATGACATCTCAATTGAAAGCAGTAGTTCTTCTTTCATCCTACCAATTATATACAGGGGTGCAAACAGTATATTGCTTATCATCCGAACTTCATCAGATCGATAAGGCATCGAAAACTACAAAAAGAAGCAACATTTCTAAAAAACAGATAGTAAAACAATGAACGGAATGTGGTGAACTATCTACCAAGAACAGAAAGATAGTTGTGGAGATTAATGTAGATTAGCGCCTTCACCTAGTAAACCAGTAAGAAATAAGAATTTCTGGGTTGCTGTTACATCCTAGTTTGATACCATCAGGAGAAAGCACTTACAACTCCTCTAGGGATTGAGTTTAGAACCTTCAGGTCTAGCAACAGACGTACATATCAATGAATCTTGTCCATTTTACACTAATAAGTATGTACTCGTAAAATAGGTACAGTTCAAAGAATAGAATTTTCGTATGGATTTTAACTAATTATCATCTGGAAATACATTTCACTTTATAGTTATTTGATGCACTTAAAAGTTTATGAA